TATATATATATTTTTTTTTTTTTTTATTTTTTTTATTTTTATTTTTTTTTAATACATATATATAAAAGATACATTCTTCAGTATGTGTGCAGAAACAAAAAGTTAATATTGGATAATAAAACATTCATTAACAACTGCTTGAATTGACAAAGGGCCCACTGAGCAAGGAGACGTCTAAACAACGTCTTTTTAAAGTCGTTTTTTCACGTCTACTTTTGGTCCCTCCCAGGTGCAGACTGTAACTCCAGATGACGTCTTTTTCCGACGTCCACTGGAAGGTCAATATAGACGTATTTTCTACATCAAAATTTAACTTATTTTATTCACTTCAGATAAAAATATAATTAGTAAGTGCTTCGTGTTGTCTTCATTGCATGTTCCCATGCAGTGTTTAACACATACACCCTCAGATGGATGTTGGAATGACTGGGGTTTGACCTTCGGGTTTAAGGTCAGCTGCTCTGCCGCTGCGCATCTCTGTGCACCAAACAAAGCTAAAGAAACAGTATATTTGACCATCTATTGTGCAACAGGAAACCACTACAGATACTAGGTTTACAATTAAATAATCACTCCTTAAATGTCACTAGAAACATGGACTAAGTTTTACAAATAAATCACTCCTTAATTTTTTTCCTTTATCCTCTTTACTGGATTAACAGAAATAGCTTCGAGAGAAAATAGCAACAGTTGGTTTATGAATAAAGTCGTGCAAATTTATAATCATAAAACAGTAACTGTGCACAGTTACTGTTTTATGATTATAAATTATGATTGTAAATGTTATGATTATAAAAATTATGATTCACTAAGGCACACCTGCACCTGTCTTGGATGTCTATACGACCTCCAAGTCCGACGTTCAAACATTCGACTTTATATCGACGTACAGTGACGTCACGGTTAGACGTCCAGAGTGGACCTTGTTTGCACGTCGCGGAGACGTCCAGAATTGGTCTAGACCGACGGACTCAATATAAACGTGACCTGCACATCCATTCGACGTCTAATGTTTAGTGGGGGGGCTCCATTGTTACTTCCTCTAGATCTGTTCCTGTTCACCCCACCTGATCCTGGATCAGCCGCCCTCTGCTGACTGATAAGAGCGCGGCTAACAATCAAACGCTAATCAGATCAGAGGTCGGCGCTCGCGCAGCTTCAACGTCTGTTTGAAGGAGGAAACGACGAGAACCAGGGCGCGTCGGGCGCTTTGGCTTTTACTGCGGGGATTGAGCTCGGAGAGGCGGGCGAAGGATCCTCAGAGGCCGGCTGCAGGCTGAGTTACACCCGCGGACTGTTTTCCTCTCGCTCCCTCCAACAACAGTGAGTTCACCTCCACTTTTTCAACTTTATCTCCTTGAACGTAGCCGACGTTTGCATTTAAAGCTAAATGACGTCGAGTGATAGTTTGAACAGGTGAACTAAAACTTTTTTTTCTTAACTTCCTCCATTGTTTACAAGTGATTTGACTGATTTCGAGCCCGTTTTAGTGTATAAACCATGGTGTGCGCGCGCGTGCGTGCGTGTGTGTGTGTGTGGTGCTGAGTGAAGTTGGCTCTGGCCCCAGATCCAAAGTATGTGAAAACATGTGGAGCATTCTCTGACATGCCGAGGCTCATCTTTATCACCTGCACACACCCAGCCCGCAGCATCTGTTTCTGCCGTGATGGTGTTTCGAACCACTTTGTGTATCCTGTTGCAAAAGGGCAGCTCTTTGTGGTGAAACTTGTGTAAGCTCTCATGGTTCTGCAGCACAGCTGACAGAAAGCCTTTCATGGCCCTGCATTAACATCACTATGGCTCTGACAGAATTACCGCTGCCCTTTCTTTCGTTTACTTTTAACCATTTTCCCCCCACCTTGTTTTTATTTTCCTCTCTCCTGTTCACGTTTTGAACATCTCTCTCTCTGGTCTAATGTGCGGTGAATTAATAAAACTCATACAAGCATCTCTCTCTTTCAGGCCTCCTCTGCTTTGTTCCTCCGGTCTGTGCCATCCATCTTGCCATGGACAGCCTGCTGCGCGGGGCCAGTGAAGGGGCCGGTGCCCTGCAGACGACACAGACGCAACTCGCTGCTGCTGCGAGCCTGGAAAACAATCAAATCTAAATCCCTCCAAGATTGAACAAAGAAGACATGCATCCACTGCGATCCCTCGGTGTCTTGTGGCTGCTGCCCGTGGCGTTGATGCTCAAGGAGAACTGTGTCCCACGCAAATCCGTGCCCTATCATAGTGAGTGTTTCTGCTCTTCAGTGCATCTTTGGCTTTTGAGCGGTCTCACCGAGCGCTTGCTGAGTTAAGGAGTTATAATCTGTCTCTAGGCAACAATGCCCTTCAGTTCGGAGAGCAGGGCGTTTCCAACTACTCCACCATGCTGCTGAGAGAAGACCTGGATCTGTTGGTGCTGGGTGCCAGGGAGGCGGTGTTCGCTCTCCATCTCAGCAACATCTCCAATAAACAAGCCTCGGTAAGAGCTCCTTTATTAACAGTAGTTAAGGCCAGTTTTGCTTTGCAGAGCTTCCTAATTTGCTTGTTGCGTTTGCCGTGTTTTGAAATGTCTTATTGTAGCGTTTTGACCCCAGACGTGCACATTTATTGTATTGTGACTGTTCTCTGATGCAAGCTCCTCAATCAGCAGCTGGGTTTTAATAAGATCAGGGAAAACTCTACCGTATTTTCAAGCCTATAAGTCACACCTTTTTGCCTAATTTGAATACCTTATGACTTATAGGCCAAAGCGACTTATTTATGATTTTTTTTTCCCCATATTCATAAAACAATTTTTGACAGAGATATGACCGTTTTCATTAATTCTGACATGGAAAATATTGAACACTATCAATTTCAGCTGATAGATGGCACTCAAGTAATATGGCATGCATGTAATAGGTAAAAATGGCTATTGATGACACAATCGGCTTGCCATAGCCTGCCACCTTCGTCCAGCTCGCCTGGAGCAAACGTCAAATCAGCTTCATTTCGTGGTGCTGCCCCGGCGAAATGCAGCTGATTTGACCGTTGAAGTGCATTTATTAAGGAAAAGTTCAACTGAGACACACCTTTACCATAAAGTCACGCAAACAAATAATTGTTTTGCTTATCTTGTTAAATTTTGAAGAAATGTGTAGCGTGCCTCCTTCCTGATTTCCTCCTGTGCACGCTCCCGCGGCCGCCGTTTGGCAGCCAATCGACTTTTGGCACAACACCGGCCCACATTTCCGGGTTGTCAGTGGTGATGCATAATAGATGCTACGTTTATGACAAAGCATCTTGTTTATGTTTTTTTCCTCTTTATTAGATATATTTGGACTGATGCGACCTGTACGGCAGAAAATACGGTAGATAATTGGATTCCTGACTTTAATCTCAGAATTCTGACTTTTTTGCTCAGAACTGAGGATAAAAATAATTATAGCACCGTGACCCTAATCCTCTTCACGTAATAAACGCGAGGCGTCAGCGGTGACGCATAATAGATGCAACTAATATGGCGAAGCGACTATTTATGGCTTTTTCCAAATTATTAAACATTTTTGGACAGATGCGATTTATATTCCGGTGTGACTTATAGGCTGGAAAATACGGTAATTTAGAAAGAACGCCGCCCGATGGGCTCGCCTCAGGGTAATGAAGACTTATAGCACAATTTATTACTGCTACATCAGGCAACATAATCTGAACCAGCTTGAAATGTTTACACACAAACTTTATTAACATTACCACTTTTAAACATACAAGCACAGCTTTAAACAGTAGTTCAGATCGTTTGAAGTTGACTGCTATAAACAATTAATATCTCACCTGTTGCAGGAAAGTCTTACTTAGTTTGGAGAAATAGAGTTAAACAAGACCAAAGTGAAATGCTGCCATCTTAAAACAACTCCAATCTGTAATATTTGATAGCAACTCATGCAAACACTTGTTTTTTTATAAACCTTCACATAATGTTCTGGCAGAAATATTATGATAATCCAGTAGGAAGCTCATCAGGCTGCATCGCAAGTGCTATAGATTCTGCTGCCGCTCTGTATCGCTTGCAAACAAGCCTAAAATTTTATGTCGGTACCTTGTTTAGAAGAATTTTCCGAAAATTTGCCAAAAAATGCAAAAGATTAAAACAAGTTTGTCTTATTTACACGTAACTACAGTTATAGAAAATAATCCTAAAACTGTCTCTTGTAGGTTAAATGGGAAGTTACTCCAACCCAAGTAAAAGAATGTGAAAACAAAGGAAAGGATCGAGAGGTTGGTCACTTGAGTTACAAACTGCACCATTGAAAACTTTCACAGAAAGCAAAACCAGTCATTCTCTCTCTGTCCCTTTTTAATTTCCAGACGGAGTGCAAGAACTACATCAGAATCCTGCATAAGATGAAGGATGGCCGCATGTTTGTGTGCGGAACTAATGCTTTTGATCCCGAATGTGATTACTTGGTGAGACAAATTCACTTTTGTTCTCTGTCGACGTATTTTATTTTATTTTTTTTTTGACAATGAACGTCATTAGAACTTGCTGAGTCATGTTTATATCAAGCAATGTGTTTGTTGTGTCAGCGATATAAGAATGGAGAGCTGACTTTCGACAAGGCAGGAGAAGATGGCAAAGGAAAGTGTCCGTTTGATCCTTTCCAGAGATATGCCTCCATCATGGTTGGTGAGTAGAAGTTATGGATCCTGAACTATGAACTTTGAAGTAGCATCGCTGTTTTGATGGGAATGTTTTTCCTGCCAGATGACGATCTCTTCTCAGCCACCTCCATGAACTTCCTGGGCTCTGAGCCCATCCTAACACGCAGCTCTCCCGGGTACATACGCACCGAGTTCAAGACCTCCTGGCTTCAAGGTAAGATGCAACTTTGTTTTCAGTGGGAGCAGTTTTACTCCAACGATCTGCTCTATTTTTATTTTTTTTTTATCCTAGAGCCCAACTTTGTTTCCATGACTTGGATGCCTGAGAGTGAGCAGAGCAAGGAGGGAGATGATGACAAGGTGTACCTCTTCTTCAGCGAGACAGCTGTGGAGTTCGACTGCTACAACAAACTGGTGGTCCCTCGTGTGGCTCGTGTGTGCAAGGTGACAATACCACATAAACAGCACTTCCTCAGCTGCGCTATTTCTGCCCCTTTCCGCCGCTTGATTATGCATACTGCTTCTTTTTGTCAGTTTTTCCTTGCAGTGCAATGGTGTTTTTATGTGCCCATAGGGGGATCTTGGAGGTCAGAGGACTTTGCAAAAAAAGTGGACATCCTTCCTTAAGACCAGAATAAACTGTCCGGTGCTGAACTCCAAGCTGCCGTACGTTATCCAGGACTCGTACCTCTGGTGTGACTTCAAGCTGCCCTGGCAAAACTGTATTATCTTTGCCATCTTCACTCCACAATCGTACGTTTTGACCAAAAACATTAGAAAGAGGAGGATTTGAACACTTAAATGTGCTTAGCTCTAAAAATGGCTGTTTAAATGTGTGTTTCAGGGACTTGTCAGATCTGTCTGCAGTTTGTGCGTACAGCATGTCTGACATCAGCAAAGTGTTTTCAGAGGGGAACTACAAGACCCCAGTTCCTGTCGGAACCTCTTTTGTTAAGTGGGTGATGTATAGTGGAGAGGTCCCTGTCCCTCGGCCCGGAGCTGTGAGTCCACTCAAGTCGTGTGTAGAAGGGGCTCAGTAGGAAGTATTGACTCTGTTCTACCTTCCTTTCCTTCATCAGTGTATAAACAATGAGGCTCGCAAGTTGGGAATAACTCAAAGCCTGGAGCTCCCGGACCGGACCCTACAGTTTGTCAAAGATAAGCCCCTCATGGACCAGGCTGTCGAGCCCATAGAAGGGGAACCTCTGCTGATACGAAGGGGGGCTACATTCACACGAATCATCGTCAACCAAGTGCAAGCTGCAGATGGACAAAAGTACCACGTCATGTTTATAGCCACAGGTGTGGGTGGGATCTGTTTTTTTTCTTCTTCCCCTTATTCTTTTCATTAGACTAAGCATTAAACCAAACGTGCTGTTTTATTCAAACAGAGGAAGGAACGATGCTGAAAGCTGTGAACTACGATGGAGAGATGTTCATCATAGAGGAAGTCCAGCTCTTCCAGCCTCCTCAGCCAATCAAGATCGTCATATTTTCCAATGTCACGGTAATTTAAAACCATTGCGTGACTCCAAAATCTATTTTCTGGTGCATGTGACTATTTTTGCTTTGTCTTTGTTGTCGTGCGCAGGGTCAGATTTACGCAGGCTCAGACTCAGGAGCGGCTCAGATACCGCTCGCCAGCTGTGAGAGGTCCTCATCCTGTGTGGACTGTGTTTTAGCCAGAGATCCATACTGTGGCTGGGACACCACTGATGAGAAATGTGTTCTCCTTTCCAGCTCACAAAGGTAGGCAGCAGCTGTCCTGATGTGCAGAGCAAGCAGAATTTATAATGTTTCCTTTTACACTAAATTTGTATTTTATCATTTTGTTAGAGAGCTAATCCAAAGTGTGACACAAGGAAATGCTTCTCTTTGTCCTGTTGCTGGTGAGTCCGTGTGTAAATGTTTTTTATGAGGCTGCTGCAAGTAGGCCTGTCGCAATAAACAATAAATCGATTAATAGCATGATAAATGAAAATAATCGACCTCATTTTCATTTATCGGCTTTATTGTTTCTTCGTGTCTCTCTCTTTCTCCTGGAGATGACAAAAAGGCTCAACTCCAGTGCTCTTCTCCGACCCCTCTCTGTCTGCTTTTTCTCTTTTCTTTAAAATCCATTTTAACTGTCCAAAATCACATTTTTGGATTGTTAAAAGCAGCCAAGCTGAGAAGCTAAGCTACGAGCTAAGCTAACAGGCTGACCTCGGGGAAAAAAACTCCATCTTGTCAAAGCTCCAAAATTCACGGTTGAAACCCGTGCCTGTGCTTCGTCTAAAAAGTTGTTTTTCTCTGAGAAGCTGAGAAATTATTGTCTGATTTTTTAATTAAAAGATTTGTGTGATAAATGCTATGCTAAAGAGCTCAAATCACATCGAGCATCCGCCATTTTGAGAACCAAAAAACAGGAAGGAGAGACAGCCCATGTCATGTCAAGGGGCCTCCCTCCCATTTTCTTAAAGAGACACACTGCTTGCTCCCTTACTAGCCATCCTTTGGTTCAAACAGTCTTATACTGCCATTTAGTGGTCAACAGAGGTACTACACACAAAACAAATGACCAACATTTCTTCTTAAATTTGACAATAATTAGTAATTGTCAAATTTCAAACAATATTATCGTTTATCGCAATAATTTCTGAGACAATTAATCGCCCAGCAAAATTTGTTATTGTGACAGGCCTAGCTGCAAGATTTTAAAATAGTCCATTATTGAATGGTTAAATAAACTCATATTTGTGTGTTTTTGTTCTGATTTCAGACCCTGTTCAGCCTGTGAGTCTGTCCACCCGGCCAGGCGGTGAACTTAAGCTCAGCTGTCCGTCACCTTCTCACCTGACGAACGTTAGATGGGAGCAGAACAACAATGTCCTCACGTTCTCACCTCGTCAGCAGATTTTGCCAGACGCACTGATCATTTTGAACGCTACAATTAGCGATTCCGGCCGCTACCGCTGTTTGTCTGTGGAGCGCTCCAAAGCTGGCGAATTTAGCACCACTGTAGCTGATTACCAGGTCAGCATCGACCCAACAGACACCGGCAACAAGGGTCTGACTTCTGTTTCTCAGCCTCTGACCGACAGCTTATCTATTGCTGGACTGCAGGCTGCCGTTGCTCTCCTTGTTATTAGTCTTACTGCCCTTTTAGCCTGGAACTTTTACAAAAAACACATACCTCTGCCCTGGAAATGTTGGACGGCACAGAACAGCAGCAGTGATAACAACCACGTGGTGGAGGCGGGGCACTCATTTATTCAGAAGGGGGTTATAACCTAACATCTGTGCCGTGTATGAATGATGATTCAGACAGCTGAAATACAGTGATACTGTGCTGCACCGGCATTAACATGTTTGAAACTGTTGGATTGAATTCATGGGTAAGTTTGTTTTTTCAAAAGGCAGATTTCACATTTAGTCAATATTTTCAGGCATACTCGTTCTCTTATGTTGGTCTTTCAGTGTTCCAAAGAGAGGAAACTGATCTAAAATGTTTGTTTAATAAAGTAACCCAGCCTCTAAACTCTTTTTGTAATGAGCAGATAGAGTTCACTTTGTTTGTGAGGAGAGCAGTTTTTCTTCGTGCTGGAACAAGCTTTGACTGCTTTTTCATGCTGTTGTGCAAGCTCTCTTCCTCTGAAGTCTTTCCACACGTTCTGAATCACGTGTTGGGTGAGGGGCAGATGTTCCAGCTCCTCTTCAGGTTGTCTGTTGGGGATTTTTAGGTCCTTGCTCTGTCAAAACACTCCTGATGACATCTAGAACTCCTAAAAATGATAGCTACAGTATAATGGCAGTACAGTGGCGCAGTTAGACTTCTTCTCGTTTCTCAGGTCGCCAGATGGAATCCCGGTTGGGGGCCTTTCTTGGTGGAGTTTGCATGTTCTCGCTGTACTGCGTGGGTTTTCTCCAGGTATCCCAGTTTCCTCCCACAGATTAAAAACATGCATGTTAGGCTGACTGGTAGCTCGGAATAGTCTCTAGGTGTGAGTGGTTGTCTCGTTCGTTTCTGTGTCCCTATGATGGACTTGTCCAGTCGCCTCTTGCACAGTAATGGCTGGACATGGGCACCAGTTATCCCCGTGACCCGAAATGGAAGAAGCGGGTAAAAAATAATGGATGGATGGGTGACTGCCATAATCTGAATCCAGTGGTTCCCAACCGTGGTCCTTGAGGAACACCATCCTGCATGGTTTAGTTGCTTCTCTCTGCTTGATCCAACAGATCTGATTTGAATGAATGAATGATTAACAGGCTTTTGCAGGGCACAATTAAATCACTGACTCCGGTGTTAAAGCAGAGAAACAATCAAAATATGCAGGATGGTGTTCCTCAAGGACCAAGGTTGGAACCACTGGAGTTTGTTTCCCTTATTTACTAAACTTTTTGTATTCAATCACCACACACCAAGTTTACACACCGCTGTCTAATCATTTTTACTGAGTGCCAGAAAGGCTCACCAGATGAATGGGAAGCTTCCAGCGAACTTACGTTCTAAGCAGTACTGAAAATCTGATTCAACTGTGATACTTGAGTTTAAACCTCTTCTAAGAAGGCTTTTAGACCGTTTAAGAGTAAAAACGTTGTAACTTTTGAAACTGAGCACAAATGTAAAGCCTTGTGTTAATATGAAAGTTCATTTTCGATTTGTACGTTTTAAAAATGTGCTTTTACTTGTCCAGTTTTTCTACGAATTACAAAACTTTGATGATCACAGGAACTTTGCTGCACTCAAACAGAGCCGCTTAGCTTCTAACTTTAGCTGGAAAGATTTTTTTTTATTATTTTCTATTGTCCTTGCTTGGTTGTAAATGTTTTACGTTTTCAGCAAGAATGTGAAAAGCAGATGTTGATGTCACCTCCAGCTGTGAATCATATTTGAATTTTTGTATAAACTCAAACATTTTAATACAAATTCTTACAAAACCTGAAAATACTGGAAGTGTTTCCACTTTTTGTGTAAAATGACATCATACACGTGTAACTACAACAGAAAACCACCAATCAGCGAGCGAAGAGCTTAAAAAACTTTAATGTGTAATCAGCAGACTATAGCTCCAATTGATCTTTTCAGACAACAGTTGTGATTGTAGCCAGAAACTCTTTTGAGCGCAGCTTAAAACACAACGGACATTACAGAGCCGAAATGATGCAATGTACATGTGTAGAGTCCAGTCCCTGAGGAGTTGATCCGTACAGGTCTCCTCATCTCCTGTAGCGATATCTCTTGAAGTGGAACCAGAGCTGAAAGATCCCGTTGGCAAACTGACAGCGGAACCCGTGTCGGTGCGAGTACTCCCACTCCCTGTTCACGATCTTAAACGCGATGTCCTCGTACGGCGGGCCCGCGTGGAACCTTAAAATCCCAAAGTCCTTGTTGTCAGGACAGGGCTCCAGGAAGTACTGCGGTGTGGAGCGCTTGTTGATCAGGTCGGGGTAGAAGATGTTAAACTTGTAGCCCTGGACGATCTTGGGCGGGGGGTTGTCGAAGTCGTAGTGCGTCTGGTTGTACTTGTTCCACTCGAAGCCCGTGTGCACCCTGTTGAAGAAGCGGGGCTTCCTGGGACGGTACTTGTCGGCCCACAGGTACATTTTCCCCGAGACTGGGATCTCCACGCTGAACTGAGCCTCGTCGTTGCCCATGCCTTCCTTGGCTCGACGTACAAAGGCGTCCTCGGCGCTCTCGTTAGCGTCGCCTGGAAATAAACAGTGAGGCAACGAATCTAGATTTAATATGACTGATCAAGATCAACTTTAGCTAACATTTTAATGAAATGCGAGTTGTGAGAACAAAGTCTCGTACCGGTGACTTGGAGCTGCCTGCGGGCCAACTGCAGCCTGTGCACGTCTTCCTCTGGGGTGATGGTGTGACTGTCCAGCGGCAGCTCCGAGGACGTGAGCAGCGTGGGACTGTAGCGACCGGAGTCGTAATCTGCCTGGCTCTGTTGGATCAGGTCCTCCTCTGTCAGCACGGCCTCCACCGCCTCCTCCTTCCCCTCTTCATCCTTCCCTTTACTCTTCTCTCCATCCTCATCCTGACTTCCTGCTGCGGATGTAGATGGACGAGCCTCCTCTTCCTCCTCCGCCGCTTCTCTGTTTTTACTTCTGGAGGAAGACGCAGACGGGCCGCCGTCTTCTGCTGTGCGCTCCCTTGTTCTCTCCCTGTCATAACACATGAAGGTGCTTAGCTTTCTAAAAATGAATAGACAGCTCGACGAGGTATTTCTAAAAAATGCACAGGAGGTAAAACTTTGAATTGAACAAGAAACACCTGACTTTTTAAAGATGCACAGGCTCAGTGAGGATGTACATTAAATAAGGCTTCACAGAAACGTACTCATCATCGTCACTCCTCAGCTCCTCTTTGATGATGGGGAATAAAGGTTCACTTTCCACTCCCTGCTCCTGTTTCAGCTTAAACAGCTTCTGACGCAGCACATCCTGATGTCGCTCCCTCAACCTGGACGAGAAGATTTTCAAATTATTCACTCGTATGAAAAAAAAAAAAAACATGCTGGTTTTGTTAGAATGAAAAAAGTTTTGACGCATTCAGCACGACTCGAGCAGCTTTTGACCACACGCATGCCGGAGGTTTCAGAATAGTAGCGAGGCAGAAGATGTTTGGCGTCGCTCCACACGCACCTGGCTCTGGCCAAGTAGACGCGCACTTGTTGCAACAGACTCTCCCAGTAACCGATATCAAGATTGGATCCTCCGGCCCGAATCTTTGTCTCAATGTTGAGGTGCAGGGCTTGCAGCTGACTGTAGGTTTTTCCTTTGAACACAGTCTGGACGTCAGTGCTGACGGCCGTGTTGATGCCTTCACGACGATCAACTAGAGCAAAAACCAAACATAAGTGTCTAGACTTAGACACAGATGCATTTTTATCTATATTTAGGCTCAAAAAACTTTTTTGTTACAATAGCAGGTGAATTAATATCAGCAATTCTTCAAGTGTCCAAATATATCTACAGTACTTCCATGGACGCTACTCACTAACCTACAAAAGCATCAAGGACGACACATTACCTGGTCCTTTCCCCGTAGTTTCTAGTTTCCTCAGTTTGCTGATCTCATCCTCAGTGATGGTCGTCATATCTCTCCAGAAGTCCACATTCTTACCTTGCTCAAGCTCCATGTACACCTTTCAGGCAAAGAACCAGATCAAATGTGTTGTCAGAGCATGTAACGCAGCTTTAAACACACAAGTGTCAAAATGTAGATGAGTACATGCGACATCAAACATACAGCTGAAGGCTTGAGCAAGATTTAAAAAGTGTGTCTGGATACGGCTCTATGGCTGATCACAAAACTAATATCCACATTTGTAGGACCTGTCCTGTTGACCTAGACTGATCTATCCAAGTTTTAATTAAAATACATAAAAACAGAAATACTTTGCAAATGTATTTCTAAACCGGTGCAGGAAAAGTATACACAGAAGCTAAGTGACACACCTGCACACTGTTAAAACGTGAGATAGAAACTTACTGCAACATTTATAATCTTGGTCAAATGTGCGTTTCCCAACAGGTTATTACCGTATTTCTTTCCCCCCAAAATACACGACATACAAGTTTGCAAAAACTGGGGCGCAAAGTGAACCCATACACATACCTAAAACTTGCAAACTAAAATCCTTTTCAAAGACGTGGATTTCATGAGAAAATTTGCCAAATCAAAGTTAGGTCAGTTTGGAAGAGGAGTTCTTCTCTGTTCTTGTAAAGAAACGGCAAAGATTTCAAACCACGTTCATATTTTTTTTAATCCTGAAAAGGAAACAATTTTTTTAATTAACTTTTACATAAATATTCCTATATACCGGTATGTGTGTGTGTGTGTGTGTGTACAGTGCATTTGGAAAGTATTCACATCGCTTCACTTTTTCCCACATTTATGTTACAGCCTTATTCCAAATCGTATTCAATTAATTTCTTTCCTCAGATTTCTACATACAACGCCCCATTATGAAAACATGAAAAGATTTTTTGAGATTTTTGCAAATTTATTAAAAACAGAAAACTAAGAAATCACATTTACGTAAGTGTTCACAGCCTTTGCCATGAAGCTCGAAATGTGCACGGTTTCCACTGATCATCCTTGAGATGTTTCTACAACTTGCATGGAGTCCACCTGTGGTAAATTCAGTTGACTGGACTTGATGTGGAAAGGCACACACCTGTCTATAGAAGCTCCCACGTGACGGTGCATGTCAGAGCACAAACACCAAGCATGAAGTTAAAGAAGTGTCTGTAGAGCTCAGAGACAGGATTGTGTTGAAGCACAAATCTGGGGAGGGATACAGAACATGTTCTGCTCCCAATGAGCCCAGTGACCTCCATCATTCATAAATGGAAGAAGTTTGGAACCACCAGGACTCTTCTTCGAGCTGGCTGGCCATCTAAACTGAGCGATGTCTGTCAGAGCTCCAACGTTCCTCTGTGGAGAGAGGAGAACCTTCCAGAAGGACAACCATTAATTTCTTTCCTCAAAATTCTACACACAACGCCCCATTATGACAATGTGAAAAAATATCACTCCTGTATGGTAGAGTGGCCAGATGAAAGACACTCCTTAATAAAAGACACATGGCGGCCTGTCTGGAGTTTGTCTAAAGGCACCTGAAGGACTCTTCAGACCATGAGAAACAAAATTCTCTGGTCTGATGAGACAAAGATTGAACTCCTTGGTGTGAATCCCAGGCGTCATGTTTGGAGGAAACCAAGCACCACTCATCACCAGGACAATACCATCCCTACAGTGAAGCATGGTGGTGGCAGCATCATGCTATGAAGATGTTTTTCAGCAGCAGGAACAGGCAGACTAGTCATGTACAGAGTCATCCTGGAGGAAAACCTGCTCCAGAGAGCTCTTGACCTCAGACTGAGGTGGCGGTTCATTTCTCAGCAGGACAACGACCCACAGCCAAGATCTCAAAGGAGTGTCTTCAGGACCACACTGTGAAGGTCCTGGAGTGGCTTCAGGACCACTCTGTGAAGGTCCTGGAGTGGCTTCAGGACCACTCTGTGAAGGTCCTGGAGTGGCTTCAGGACCACACTGTGAAGGTCCTGGAGTGTCTTCAGGACCACACTGTGAAGGTCCTGGAGTGGCTTCAGGAACACTCTGTGAAGGTCCTGGAGTGGCTTCAGGACCACTCTGTGAAGGTCCTGGAGTGGCCAAGCTAGATTCCAGACTTGAATCTAACTGAACATCTCTGGAGATGTCTGAAAATGGCTGCACAGACGTCTAACCATCCAACCTGATGGAGCTTGAGAAGTACTGCAAAGAAGAATGAGACAAACTGCCTAAAGAGAGGTGTGCTCATCTTGTTTAATCATATTCAAAAAGACTGGGGGCTGGAATTGCTGCCAAAGTTGGATCCACAAAGTGTTAACCAAAGGCTGTGAATAGTTCCGTAAATGTGGTTCCTTAATGTTCTATTTTTAATAAATTTTCAAAAATCTCAATCTTTTATCATATTGTCATTATGGGGCATTGTGTGTAAAATTTTGAAGAAAGAGATTCATTTAATACAGTTTGGAATAAGGTTGTAACAACAAAATGTGGAAAAAGTGAAGCTCGGTGAATACTTTCCAGATGCACTGCATGTAGAATTTGTTTTCCTGATGCAGATCTCGTCACTGGAATTTTGCAATAAATTCCTCCTGCATGTTTAACAGAGTGAGTGTGTTGCTTTGCCCTTTTGGGTTAAAGCAGGATCGCTGCAAACCTTAATGTCCTCTAGAAGATCGTCCATGTCTGTGACAGTCAACCCATTGAGGAACGTGTAAGGTTCATGCATCTCCACAGCCAGATCATCATCCTCTGCACTGATGTACTTTGCCAGAAGGTCGATGGGCTTTGCACGCCCATCACGAATTCTTATCTTGGACCTAAACAGACAGCCATAAAGGAGGATAAACACACAGAGCAAACACGAAACTGTGACACAGAAAAGAATGACTGCTGTTAGATAAGAACTAAAGTAAAATATATATTAATGCAAGCTAACCTCAGTTTGGCTTGTTGCAGGTGGAAGTTGTCCTCCTGTTCAGCCCAGGTTTTGAAATGTTCTGCCTCTTTCTCTCTCTGCAGCATTTCCAGCTCCGTCTCCCTCATCGCTTTCTCTCGCTCCCGCTCTAATCGCAACTGTTTCACCTAAATGAAAACACGGATATAAAATGTAAAGCTGCCACTACCACTGTTGATAATTGATTTTAAAATAAATTTGGGATATAAAGCTCAGACTGTTTTTTTTTTTTATCTTGGTAGCAAAACTCAGGTATTGTCTCAGCACTTTTCATTCAGTATTCATACCTTCTGGAGTTCTCTGCGGTTCTCTTCTTGAATGCATTTGTTCCTTTCTTTAAGATCCTTTTCACCGAGATGGCCGATGCCTTTCTTATCCAACGCCTGAGAAGACAAGAGTAAAAAAAACACAATGAGCATTTCGAAGCCTAGTTTAAAAACATGATCATCCTTAATTCTGGGGAAGGAACTCACCTTTTGCCATTTGAATGTGCCTAACAGGTTGTTGTCACCAAAGGGATTGTCTGCATTAGTGTATCCCATGTATTCCTCACTCCAACCCATCTTTTCTCTCCTTTTCTTCTCTTTTGTTTCTTTCTTGGCCAGCCTCCTGGCTCTCTTTTCTTCTGGTGTCTCAAGAGCCTTCATCATCTCCCTCTGCTTTTTCTTATCCTCTTTCTCTTTGATTGCACGGCTCTCATATTCTGATCCTGAACTCTCCGATGACTCAGATGAACTGAAGCTCCGCCTCCCTCTGTTTCCATCATCCCTTTCATTGCTTCTCCTGTTTCTCCCTCGCTCCCTCTCTTTACTTCTCTTCTTCCTCTCCCAGCTTTTGTCCTGGTCTTGTCTTCTTTCTTGGTCCCTGCTGCTCTTCCATCGCTCTTTGCCCCACTCCCTTGTATGTCTGTCTCTGAACGGACTTCCTCTATCAGGACTTTTTCTTCTTCTCCTCCTTTCTCTGTCACTGTTTCCATCACTCGAGTTAGAGCGGGACTGAGATCTTCCTTTTCCTCTCTCTTGAGATCTACTGCCGCGATTCTTCCTCCTCCTTCTTCTATTGGAATTATCTGAATCTGGACTGAAAAAAAAAATAGTAGATATGAACAAAGTTACACCAAATTTAAGCTTTCTCAAAAATCAACGTGAACCAGAAGCATTTTGACAAACAATGTCAGCAGAGACGCTACAACAATGACAAGTTGCCTAAAATTACACAGATCAGTTTATAGTCATGACTAATGTATCCAACAAATTTAAATCAGGTCCTCTGGATGATTTTTTTGTTGTTGTTGAAACGTTTCATCTTTCATCCAAAAGACTTCATCAGTCTGAGGAGCCACAACAAACTCAGTCCCATAAGTTGCACACTCACACAGTGGGCCAACCAGTTTGATGGTGATAAGATGGTTTCTGGTACCTGGATTATTGAGCATGAATGTTGATATTTTGAACCACTTCGGCCATGGATGCCTCTGACAAGTTGACGGGGGAAAGGGTGGACTCTAGAAACCATCGTCACCATCAAACTGATTGGACCACTGTGTGAGTGTGCTACTAGAACTGATTAATTTTTATGGATGAAAGAGGAAACGTTTCAATAACAAAAACAAAAAAGGATCTGCCTTAACTTTGTTGGATTTTTTTTAACCTGGATTATTGAGCATGAACTTTAAATGTTTTAAAACAACAATTTTAATAAGTCAAGGTATGAACGAGGTATCTGAGTTTAGGTATGTCCAGACTGCTGTTTAATATTCCGTATTATTTTAAATTATTATTGTTTAGTGTATTTAGATCCTTGCATACTATTTTTATACTTTATATTTTTGCGTATAACTGGAACCTTGAGTACACAATTTCATTCCACCTCATGTACCACATGTGATATGAATGACAATAAAGAACCATGAACCTTGATCTGAGCAGTATCTGAACAGAGGTATTTAAGAGACTTTAGCAATGGAACTGTTCTGATGGATTGGGTGGGTTATTTATTTTGTGGGTTAGGTTAGCTTTTCACAGGTGCAATGGAATTCCATCAGAAAGGAATATGAAGACAAGTCTTCTTCACCATATTTTTGTGTCACTTCTAAGCAATGCAAAGTGTCCAAGTACGAACCAAGCGAAAGCCAAAAATCAACTTTTTTTAAGTCAAAACTTTGTATTATCTGTCACTGATAATAAACTTACGGGTTATGAATGTCTCAACAAGCAAATTTAATTGAATTCGTACTTATTTGCCACGAAAGTAAGGCCTGTGCTGGAGCCGAGTTCGAGAAACAGTGAGATAATGTAAAAGTTACCTGGTTGACCGATCCTTTGATTTGCTGATCTGACGGTGTGCTCGTTGGCTCTTCTTGTCACCATCCGAGACGCTGCTGGACCCAGATCGGTCCCTGTATTGAGGTCGAACGGGAGAGCCATGGTTCGAGGCCCCGCTGCTGGATCTGCCGCGACCTCGGCCTGGTCTTTTAGAGCCCGGAGACCGACTGCGACCTCTCCTCTCCTCTGGAGATCGCGACCTGCTCACTCTGGTCTTGTTCCGCCGGTCTCGACTCCGACTTCTGGACTTAGAACGGGATCTGCGTCGAGATTTCGAACCCATCACGAACTTTCTGCCTTGAGGGGTCTCTTCAGATGTGTGTCGCGTAAATAAGAGGTGTAAACGGTTGTTGTGTGTCACAACAGGCAAAGCTCTACCACCCTACATTAAAATATTTATGTATATAATGTAATGATTAGCTGTTTCAGTTTTCAGAATACTTAAAAAAAAAAGCTAAAACAACGCGTCAAGGCTAAAACGTTAAAACCTTTTTAGTAAGGCACATATAAGCCACCTAAAAGACTCCTTCTTAACGAATTGTCGCAACATTTAAACGTCACAATTAGAGACCGAGAAAAAAAAACTACAAATAAGTCACTCCACATTAGATCTTTCTTTTGAGTTAATTTATAGATTGTATCTAACAAAACTCTTTCTTTGAAAATAACAAAAGTATTTACATTAATCTAGCATTTTCAGGTCTCTCTTGTAAATGAGTTCTCGAGGCTCAATGGGATTAACCTGTCTAAATAAAGGTTGAATTAAATTTTATAGAAACCTAAAGACATCTGATTTGGCACTGGATGTTTCAACAGAAAAACTACAAGTGTTTCGTGTTTTTCTCGATCACAGTTCTTATTGTAACAAATGCTGTAAACATATTCTTTCTCATTCTTTCTTTATAAATATCACATCCACAAAAATGCATTTTAAAATCACAATCCTTATTCCTCTTTGAAGGAGCTACGCTCAAACAAGTAGGCTTTAAAAACTGTCAAAATATGTATTTTTTGAATATCTAATTGAGCATGCATCAGGATATCTTTGAATAGTTTTCTCCTGTAGCGGCAACATATTTTACATTAGTCAAATATTGCTATTGCATTGTTTTGCATTTATTTTTGCTTCTCCCTCATCATGTTTTATTTCTTTTATCTTTTACATATATGTTTTACTGTCAGCATGTTGGTACTTTATAACTCTGTTTACTTGGTAATAAATGTTTATTTATTTATTTACCCCTTTACCCTTTATTTATACAGGTAGTCTCACTGAGTCACGAGAACTAATTTTCAAGAGAGACCTGTTTGTGAGCAGATGTGGGGGTTAAGGGCCTTGCTCAAGGGCCCAGAGAGGAGCCTGTAATAAATGTTACAAAGAAAGTTTAAGAAAAAATGCAGATATGTCACAAATCACTCAGTATTTAATCGTTTTTCAATAAGACACTGAATACAACAAAACTATTAAAAAAAAAACAATTGAAATTATCAAACTATTTTGACAGAATTAGGGTTTAAACTACTTGGGTGACATTTGTTACAAAACACGTGCCAGTAGTAGTAATCCGGGTCACGGCACCAACTGTTAAAGGCGGGAGCTGGCTGCGGACCACTGGATCCGGAAACCCCCTCCAGCTCACGTCTTTACCCCCGGCTCGAACCTCCCACAGAAGTGGCAACTATACTAATCAATAAATCAAGGAAACGTCAATTAAGTTTTATCAATTATATTAGAAAAGGCAGGAAAAGATTACAATTTACAGCGCTGGACTCTTTGGTCTGCGACGCGTTCACAGACCCGGAAGAGCCACGATGTCCCGTGTCATTACTCATTTAAAGGGTCTTACACAGAAGGAGAGCTCAACCTGTCATGTATGAGGGGGCGTGACTAAGTGTGATCTCAGTGGATCTTATGTGGACTGACGTGTTAGGAAATATGAGACGGTGCTTCAAAAAAGCCTTTCTACGTGATGTGGCAAGCAGATTAAACTATTTGACTGATATTGAAATCCCAGGGAGACTCTCTTTAGAGTCGCTGTTCCAGTTTAACCCAGTCAGAACCGGGTCATAATTTCATTATAATCCCGTCTCTGAGCAGATCAAAACCATAGGACTAGTCTAGATTAAAAATATCTTAACACTATTATTAGACTCTTTCTCTGAATCACTAGCTAGTAAAACAAAGCTGCAGTTTCTGTTGTACTGTAGTTCATCATATTTAGTTTGTTTACCTCTAGATTTAAAGACAAATCAGAAATAATACTTTTGCTCACCTCATGGTCAAATAAAACCTAACATAGAGTCATATGATTGGTGAATATATATATATATATATATATACATATATATATATATCTATATATATATATATCCTGCATTATTTAACGCAGAGAAAAAAACATTTGCATTGCTAAAGCAAAAGTAACATGTTACTAAAAACTGTTTGAAAATTAAAGCTATTGAGTAAAGCTGCTCTTGTAATTTATATGCGTGTGTGTGTGTTTGTAAAATAAAAGTATTTATTAGTTGTTGTGGGGCAAGAAGAAGGCAAGCTGTTTAGGACTAGTACTTTGGACTACAAATCCCAGACAACACCAGGCGCCATTACCTGTATTTAGAGTGCAGAGTCCTCTCAGCAATACAGTTCCTTCCCAGTGTTTTCTGAGGACGCCCCAGCCAGTGTTGTCACAGTTATAGTGTAGTGTAGTTTCAGGTTATTACATGTTTATTTTTAAACGTGTTCTTTTGTAGTTAGTAAAGAGTTTGCGCCGCGGACAGCTCGGTTTCCGTCGCTCTTGAAGAGAGACGGAGCTGTTAGCCATTAGCAACCAGTAGATTTACGGCTTATAACAGCGGATGCCCTTCCAGGTAAATCACCCAAAGCTGAAGTAGCAGCTCAGTCACAATGTTTTTTCTGATTTCATCCATTTCTGAGTGCTGACATTGTGAACTAAGTGTTTAAAGTCGGGAACTGCTCAGCGCAGTCTTTGTTTTGCTCAGGTTCGGCCTGTTTTGCCTGCGAGCGTCGAAAAGGAAGAAGTTGTTTTCGCCGTGGGCTGTTTGCCGGTCAGGCTAACTCTGCCGTGTTCGTGTCAACAAAAGCTGTCGAGTTCAGATTAGCTTCAAAGCTACCAGTATGGCGCAACACGACTCCTCTCATGTAGCCAGTTCACAGAAAGCTCTCATGTTGGAAATGAAAAGCCTTCAGGAGGAGCCCGTCGAGGGATTTAAAATAACTCTGGTGGACGAGGCTGACTTGTACAACTGGGAAGTGGCCATTTTTGGACCACCAAACACTCATTATGAAGGGGGGTACTTTAAGGTAAGATTATCAAACTCCCAAGACTGAAAATTATGGCTGCATTAACAAAATAACCAAATGAATATTTATTTCTCCCAAGGCTCGGATCAAGTTTCCTACAGACTACCCATACTCCCCACCTGCTTTCCGCTTCCTCACCAAAATGTGGCATCCGAACATCTATGAGGTCAACTTTCACAACCTGACAGCGCTGAATATATTAAAACAAATGTCTGCAGCTGAGTGAAGCGTGTCTGTTTCTTCTGTTTTAGAATGGAGACGTGTGTATTTCTATATTACATCCTCCAGTGGACGATCCTCAGAGCGGAGAGCTGCCTTCAGAGAGATGGAACCCAACCCAGAATGTCCGGTTAGCATCTCCCTCCTTCACCGTTTTTCTCTCCTCGTATTTCTCCCTTTTCTTGTCACCTCCTTTCTTTGTCCTCCCATTCTCACCCACTTCAATAATTCACCCCAGCTTATCGTATAACAATCATTGTCAGCAGTGTCTTCTTCACCAGTTTAGGCACTTAACAGTGAATCTATACCTACATCCTCAACTCATTTACAAGCAAAACTAAATTCATTGTGCGACAAAGTTAAGTCAGGTCCTCTGGATGGTTTCTTTTTGACCACTTTGGCCATGGCTGCCTCAGAGGAGTTGACGGAGGATAGGATACCATACCATACCAATTTATTTATATAGCACTTAAAACAGCAACAAGGCCAAACCAAAGTGCTGTACAAAAGAACACAAACATGCACAGCAGACAGGAAAACATAAAATAGAAATACAGATACAAATAGCAGCAGGAGCTAACTAAAATGGCCAACAGAGTAGAGAACAGACCGGACCAAAACAAATCACACCGTGTTAAAGGCAAGCGAATAGAAGTGGGTCTTCAAGCGAGACTTAAAGACTGAGAGTGTGGGAGCCTGCCGGACACTCAGTGGCAACTCATTCCACAGTCGTGGACCTGCAACAGAGAAAGCCCTGTCACCTCTGAGCTTACGACGGGTTTCTGGGACTGAGAGAAGCATCTGGTCTGCTGACCTCAGAGAGCGCGGTGGGACATATGGCTGCAGAAGATCAGTGAGATAGGATGGGGCGGAACTGTTCAGTGATTTAAAAACATACATGAGAATTTTGAAATGGATCCGAAGGTGAATGGGTAGCCAGTGCAGGGAGGCCAAAACTGGCGTGACGTGCTCTCTATAGCCTGTACCAGTTAAAAATCGGGCTGCAGCATTTTGGACCAGTTGTAGACGAGCAATGGAGGACTGACTGATTCCAAACAGAAGTGAATTGCAGTAATCAAGCCTAGATGTTATGAAGGCGTGGATCACTGTCTCGAGGTTCTTTTTGTTGAGTATAGGCTTCAGCTTAGACAGCCGTCTCAGCTGAAAAAAACAGGATTTGACCATCATGTTTACGTGACTGTTGAGTTTTAAGGACGGGCCCATTATCACCCCCAGATTAGTCACCTTTTGTTTCTCTAGCAGGGCTAGAGAGAATAGGTCAATGTCATAGTTCATGAGTGAGCCACTGGGATGGAACAGCATGACTTCAGACTTCTTCTCATTGAAGCTTAAGAAGTTTAAAGCCATCCAGTCCCGGATGTCAGCCAGGCAGTCAAGAAGAGGCTGAATAGAGCGTGTGCCTCTGTGCCTCAGGGGGAAGTAAATTTGGCAATCATCGGCATAGAAATGAAAGGGTATGTCGTGTTTGCGGAAGATAGCACCTAGTGGCAGCAGGTATAAAGAAAAGAGAAGGGGACCGAGGATGGACCCCTGCGGTACCCCCCACTGGAGTGCGGTCGATGCCGAACTGAAATCTTTGATATTGACACAGAAGGTTCTGTCAGAGAGGTAGGACCCAAACCATTTAAGGGCTGACCCTGTGATGCCCACCCACTGCTCCAGTCTAGAAATGAGGATATTGTGGTCGATGGTGTCAAAAGCAGATGTAAGGTCCAATAGGACAAGCAGCACAGAATCACCTGCGTCTGTGGATATGAAAATGTCATTAAAAACCTTCAGTAGAGCAGTTTCAGTGCTATGGAGAGATTTGAAGCCAGATTGGAATAACTCAAGGATAGCGTGATCCCCCAAAAACTGTTTCAACTGAGACTCCACAATTTTTTCCAGTAGTTTAGAGGTGAATGGGAGTCTGGAGACAGGCCGGAAGTTGGACATGACTGAGGGGTCAAGGTTAGGTTTTTTCAGGAGGGGCTGGACAGCAGCATGTTTAAAAGTCTTTGGCACCACACCTGAGGATAAACTGCTATTCAGAATAGTGAGGATAAAAGGACCCAGGGTAGGAAAAACTTCCTTTAGCAGTCGAGGGGGGACCACATCAAAGGGGGAACCAGATGGCTTCATGCTGCACATTAAGATGGACATTAGGATGGACTCCAGAAACCATCTTATCACCATCAAACTGGTTGGTCCACTATGGGAGTGTGCTGCTTGTGGGACTGAGTTCATTGTGGCTCTTCAGACTGATGAAGTCCTTTTTGGATGAAGGACGGAACGTCTCAACAAAACCAGAAACCGTCCAGATAACCTGACTGAACTTTGTTGGTTTTTTTAACCTGGATTCATTGAATATTTCAATCAAAACTTTGACTTTTATATTTATCAGGGCACAGTTTTAAAATTGAAATGTTTCTTTCATCATATTTAAACACGCATTGTGTTTTCCTTTTCTGTATTTCCAAAACTTGTCCAAAATTAGCTGTGAGTTAAGATTTGCTGTCAAGAAAAAAAACAAGTTCCACAAGTAGCATTACAGTTGGCACACTGGCTGTTCTCCAGCTTCAGGGCTCTGTAAACTTAATTAATCTTCTTACAAGTTAATTTGTCCTTTGTAAGTGGAGGAAGGGTTTGTTTACATTCCAAATAAAGTCACCTGCTCACACAAAACAACACATTTAAAAAAAATCTTGTATCAGGTTAGTATAATTTTGTCTGGATGACAGTGAGGGAGCTCTGTTGGCTGCACTTGGCTTCTACATTTGCTGAGTGCATGATTAAAAAAAAATAGCATTAGCTCGCTTTGCACATATTTGGAAAACCTGTTGAAGCTTTTGTAGGATTCCCAGCTACTATGGAAATCAGGGAAAACCTGGAAAATTACTTTTTTTACATTTTCTAGACATGAAAAACTCAAGGGGTTTGAGAAAAACATCAATACTTAAGAAATTTGAACACTGATCTGATAATTAGAAGATGATCTTTGGCATTTTTACATTTTATTATGCTAGTATTGTAGTATCATTGAGTCCATGTTCTGCCTCTAAAGTGTACTAATTTGTAACCCCTTTCAAAACTCATAACGTTTGAGCATTAAATCATTCACTGCTGCAGTAAATCCTTTTCCTGCCACTTAAGATGCTAAATTCTGAGCTAACAAAGTCCATGCTCAATAATCCAGGTATACAATCCAACAAGTTCAGTCAGGTCATCTGAACAGTTTCTTTTTGTTTGTGCTGAAACGTTTCACTTTCCATCCAGAAGGCTTCTTCAGTCAAGGAAACGCACAACACAAAATTGATTCTTCCCCCAGCAGCTTACTTTAAAGTGGAACAAACCAGTTATGTTGGTGCTAAGATGGTCTGTAAGTTCTGAGCATTTTGTGTGTATGATATTTAAAAAAAAACTAAAAAAAAAACGGGGGGAAATTCACGGCAAACTCAGGGAATTTTATTTCCATGAAATTCTGGGAACCCTGTTTTGAGTCTTTTTGAATATTTTACTGATTCAAATGGTCAGAGGCATACATTTAATAACAATGTCTTACTTAGCCCATGGTTTGCAGTGGCGAGAAAATGGACTGCTTGTAATTTGTAGCCCTTTTGCCTTTGGCATCAAGCAATAATGTATTTGTCCATGTCTGTGTGAGCCTATCTTTGCTTGCTTATTTAGTAAAACATCTGATGAACTGGTGGTTGGATTGTATCGTATTTTCCGCTGTACACGTTGCACCGCATTACAGTATAAGTCGCATCAGTCCAAATATGTCCAATAAAGTGGAAAACAACATAAATATGTTGCTTCGCCGTATAAGTTGCATCTGTTTCGCGTCACCGCTGACAACCCGGAAATGTGGGCCGGTGTTATGCCAAAAATCGATTAGCTGCCAAATGGTGGCTGCGGAAGCGTGCATGTTAGGACTCTTAACAAGAATTTAACTAGATTAACACTTAAAAATAATTATTTTTTTGCTTGATTTTATAGTAAAGGTGTGTCTCAGTTGAACTTTTCCTTAATAAATGCACTTTAACGATCAAATCAGGTGCATTTCAAAAGTGCATGCATCATGATATTTCAAAAGTATTTGCTGCCTCGGTGCTCCGGGAGCGCGCAGAGGGAGGAAATCGGGAAGGAGGAACGCTGCGCATTTCTTCAAAACTTAACATGATAAGCACCTAAAACAATTATTTGTTTGCTCGACATTATAGCAAAGGTGTGTCTCAGTTGAACTTTTACTTAATAACTGCACTTCAATGGTCAAATCAGCTTCATTTTGCTGAGGCAGCGCAGCGAAATGAAGCTGATTTAATGGTTGCTCCAGGCATGGTCCCAGAGCTGGACAAAGGTGGCGTTATTTGGCAAACCAATTATGTTTATTAATAGCCACTTTTACCTATTACATGACACAACAGCATGCCATACTACTCAAGTGCCATCTAGTGGCTTAAAATGGTAGTGTTCAATATTTTCAATGTCAGAATGAATAAAAACGGTCATATCTAAGCCAGAAATTGATTTATAAATAGGATGGAAAAAACATAAATGCATCGCTTCGGTGTATAAGTCGCAGGGCATGTAAATTATGCACAAAATGTGACTTATAGGCTGAAAAATGTGGTAATGTAAATTTTAGAGAGCAGTCACTGGATCTGCAGCTAATTGACATGACACGAATGGTAAGATTCCTCCGTCTACATGGAAATGTAACCCAGGGTGAGCTAACCTCCGACAAACAAACAAGGTGGTTGTAGTGGCAGAGATCAAGAAGCTTCCAACGTTACCTGAGGCATTTTGCCTTATCAGCCAACATGTCTACTTCTGTGTGAATCTGCATTGTTTGTGTTACCTGTCACTTTGCTGCTGGTACACCTGAATTTCCCCACTAAGGGACAATAAATATTATTTGTATTTCTCCTAAGGCAAAGAAGACAGGCAAAAAAATAATAATTCAAAGATCCTGATAACTTAAAATTGTTACTGCAGTAGATGTTTTCATGCCGCAGAGTGACACAGGGTAATAATTCAGTATGTACTGAGTGTAAATTTTACATTACGCAACCTAATAAATGCCTTGTCAACATCAGTTTAGTGTTAACTGATCATAACAAACAAAGACTAAAGTTGTGCAACCAGAAGTTGCAACATATATCTACATAGAAAACAAATCACAACCAGCTTTAAGCATTAACCTTTAATTTAACCATTAAGCATTCAATGTAATTATGACAAAAATTAGAAGATTTATTTAAAGTTACCGTCGTACAATGAACAAGGCAATTCTCGTTTATTACTGTTGTATCCAAGCTGCTCATGAGGACGGCAGCAGGCCTGTATCCATCTTTTACATTTTCCCAGACTCTGTTTAGTTTTGGAAATGGAATAATCTGTATTCCACCCTCTAAACACTCAGTGTATTTATTGTATGTTTCTCACAGAAGATGTTTAACTATATTTTCCTAGTGATTTTTAACAAAATCCCTCTGACTAAAGCGTTCGTAATGTAAAAGCATGAGGGTTCAGCGTGAGGGAAGAGGCAGCATCAGCTTAATGAACTTTTGGTGTTTTGAATCATGGCTGCCCCAGGGGAGTTGATGGAGAGGGCAGGCCCCAGAAACCATCTTATCACTAGCAAACTCGTTTTTTTCCACTATGGGAGTGTGGTATTTATCAGTTTGTTTGCGACTCCTTTGACTGAAGAAGTCCTTTGGATGAAGGACAAAATGTCTCGGCAAAAAAGAAACCGTCCAGATAACCTGACTGAACGTTGGCAAATAGACCATTGTTTCATCAGTCTCCATGATGACATCCCTCATCTTTATAAAGGGAACCCGTCCATTGTTAAACAGGGGCGGGGGGCTCCGTGTTCAACTGTCCCTCCTGCTAACCCTTACAATACTGTTATTGCATCACTCAGCCCTCTGTGAATAGCAAGCGGCCATCAGGGCACTAATGATCAATTGTTAGGCTGATGTTCCTCCTTCTGCCTGTGAACTAGTTTTGGCTGTCACCAGCAAACTGGTTGATCCACTATGAGAAGGTGCTGCTTATAAGACTGAAGTCTTTTGGATAAAAGATGAAGGTTTCAACAAAGAAGAACCTGAGCAGAGGACCTGACTCAACCTTGTTAGATTTATCTACCTGGATTATTGAGCATTCATCAGGACTAAAAGATCATGGTTTTCATTACTTGGTGCTTTGCAGACTGGGATATTTTTATTTTCTGTAGAAGATAACACCAATTACCAGAAATAAACTGATTTCTTGACTTGTATTTGTTTCTGCAAACACAATGGAAATATACGTCAGGAAAAAGAGACGTGCACGATTTTACAAGCACCCCGAGCACAAAACTAACCAAGGCTGTAGCAGTGACCACAAACGGCAGTAGCTACATTCTACTTCCTGAAATGACTCACAGTGACATTACTAAATAAACCACCTTTTGTTAAATGTGAAGTGCCATTGGTGCAGGAGGAGTACATGTCCACTGACTACATTTGTTCTTAATTTTAATAATAAATTATTGTTCTTGCTGCAAAATAAAATAAATGATTTTAAGTTTGTTCAAATCTTGTTTTAGTCCAAATGACTTGTTACATTAAACTCTTGGGTTTGGGATCAGGAAATAAGTAACGTGTTTATTGCTTGGCTCTAGTTTAAACTTTTAAAAGTTATAGACACAGTCAGCTTGGAGAATAAATATTTTAGACTACCTTAAAAAAAAGAAGAAGCTTATTTGAATGTGTCAACTATAATAGTTTGTTTGCTTTCTTTTTCTCTCTCTCCCTCTTGTTTTTGCCTTTAGGACAATTTTACTAAGTGTGATCTCGCTGCTCAATGAACCCAACACCTTCTCTCCTGCCAATGTGGACGCCTCCGTCATGTACCGCAAATGGAGGGACAGTAAAGGCAAGGACCGGGAATACGTAGAGATCATCAGGTAAACAATTGGTGTAGCATATTTTAATAACTATAGAGATAAAAACAGTCTGGTTTGTTTTGAGCCTCTTGCTGTTTGAGTCACTCTAGTTTCCCACATGCCCTAAAATCTTCAAATATTTAAATATAACTCGACTCGTAAAATCCTCCTCAGGAAACAGGTGATGGCCACCAAAGCGGAAGCTGAGCGAGATGGCGTGAAGGTGCCCACAACCCTGGCCGAGTACTGCGTCCGTACACGCGCCCCAGCCCCCGACGAAGGCTCCGACCTCTTCTATGACTATTACTATGAAGACGATGACGTGGAGGAGGGAGATGGCGACTGCTGCTATGACGAGGATGACTCGGGCAATGAGGAGTCATGACGATTTTGTTGTCAGAAAGCCGAATCTAGCTGACGTATGCTCAACCCTCATCTCTGCCTGGGTTGCCAGATGTTCTAGGTTTACAACTGAGAAATATTGGAAGCTTCCCTCTTCTAAATCGGTACAAGAGCTTTTTTTTTCCCCCCCCTTTGAGTCTCAGAGGTTAAAGTGTTCTCACCATGAGGAGGCCAGACTTTGGACAGATTTGCACCCGCACAAACGTCTGTTTTTGTTGTTTTTTTCTGTTTAAAAGAATTGTTTCCCTCATCCTATTAAATATCACTTTGCTCACAAGATCCAGTCACATGTTTAGGAAAAGGTGTAGTTGGTTAGATACCACCCTCAACAATAACATTTGAACTGGTGCGAACTCTTCACAACAGTACGTAGCCTCTCTCACGTATCTTTATTTCTCTCATTGTAACTGGGTGTTGCTCAAGCGATGGAAATTTTTATGGAATTCAGGCTGCTTGTTTGTTCCGGATAAAGAGCTGCAACTCTCCAATATTTCCGAGTTTTACAACGCCTTTTAAAAGGACGACAAACGAAATGTCACGTGACAGTGTTTTCAACGTTCTTGTGCATGCTAGAACATCTTTGAAAGTTTTTTTTTTTTTTTGGTCTGTTACCGGTGGACTGTTTCTCCACACTTCCTGAAAGACTTGTGAAGATGGAGGACTCTGTCTGAAGGACTGGCTGGCTCAGTCAGAGCGTCGGTTTCTCACGTGAACATTTTTACTAACATGAAACTGATCGTTGCTGGGTTTCTTCTGTTTATTGTTGGATGTGTTTTCGCTGTCACTCTTAGTGTGGGATTGTGTTATTTGAAGTAGCTCAGAATTTAAAATTATGTAAGATAAGCAAGTCCTTGAGGGCAAAGGGTGCAGAACTAGTTATTGATCAGAATTGTATTTCTCCTCAGGGTCACTCTGAGCAGCCTGATGGACCCAAAGATCTGAAACAAGCGTGTACAAGACATTTTAATGTTTGGCCAGTGTTTTTGCTTTACTCTTTCCTTTGTTTGCTTTCTGGCGAGCTCCACTGTTTCTTTTTCTTAGTTGGATATTCTGCGTTCATGTTTACTTGCATGGCTGGCTGCTCACGAAACCCACAGATGGTGTTTGTCAAAAAGTGACCAGGATTTTTAAACATTTTCAGCCCTGCAAGTGAAAGTGAATAATATTTAGATCTTTGTTTTATTTCTATTTTTTGTGATGAGTAGTTTTGATGCTATTTTCAGAGTATCTGCGTGTCCTGCGTTTAGTTTTGTTGTTTTCAGTCAGCATTATTGATTAATTTGCTTTTAATTGGGACATCATATTGAATTTCTCAGGACAAATTACATGCGACAAAATTGAGTTAAGCAACTGTGTCATCTTTAGGTGGTCTTCAACGCTGGTTTACAGCTTCCACAGGAACCATAATCAATATGCGCACGTAGCTGTATGAATGATCACCAAATTATTTTATTTACCTGTGTCTCTGTTTTTTTATTTCAGCTATTTAAAACTGAAAAATAAAGATTTACTTGAAAAAAATAAAATAAAAAGACAGTCTTCAGTGCTTAAAGGAGCTGTGGGATGGTCATGATTAGTGACGTGAAGTTTCCTACTGATTCAAATCTCTCTTAAGGTATGCAGACTTGTCACTTACTGTTACTTTTACCCCCCCACACACACACACACACATTTTACGACTTGTCAGCACGGTGGTGCGTAGTGATATAACCATTTAAAAGTGAAGGGCTCCACAAGATCCGGCTCCCTTCAAAGAGTCTTATTTCCCGTCTTTAGTCACGATCACAGGATGATATACACATTTTTTTTTTCGTTCATACTTTTGTTCATTTATTAAATATAAAACGACACATTTCATACGTGCAAAATCTTTAGAGCAGTGGAGTTGAAATGCTTAGTTTAATTATGGAATAAAAAGCTCTTAATTAGAAAAAATGTAAAAGCATCAGTAATGAAAACGGTCATTAGTGCACCATAAGCAAGTGTTGTGACACTTTCATCAGGAAAATAATATATTCATCCATTATGACTGAAGTCATTAGCAATACTTCTTCTTTATCTCAGTTTTTTTTTTTTTTTTTTCCTTTCGGCTGCTCCCTGCGTTACGGGTTGCCACAGCGAACTAAGTCGCACAAATACTTGGCAGTTATTTTTACACCGGATGTCCTTCCTGACACAACCACGGACCACTGAGCTAGACAGCTGCTATCTAGGACACCCGGAGGAGCAGATGGTGGGGGTTAAGGGCCTTGCTCAAGGGCCCAGAGTGGGATGGATGAGAGTGTGGGCAGGTGTGGGTGCTTCACCTACCCCACCCACATTTTTGATGTCGGTACAAGCCCTGGTACCTGCGATCTTCCGATCACAGGCCCACCTTCTCTAGCCTCTGCGCCACCACTCCCCTTCTTCTTCCACTTCTTTATTTCAGTAAAATACTGCTTCCTGATTCTAACTATACGGGTTAGTCTCATTGAGTCGTGGGGACTCATTTACAAAAGAGACCTGAATTTAACAAAAAATGATAACAGTGGATAACAATGACAACTGACAATCATAAAAGAAAGCCTATAAACTGAAAAAATAAATGGAAGAAAATTATATTAAAAAGAAAACAAAAAGCTACATTATAAAGCAATGTAAAATACTAAAAACAGGAACATGTCCGCATTGGTTTGTGCCATGAACTTACCGCATATGGCACATTATACACCTGTCGACAATAATACAGTACTGAAATAGCCCGGACAAGCAAAGACCCTGTGTAACCTTTGACCTTGATTTGTAATCTTGACCTTAGAGCTGGGGTGATCTGATGATTATGTGACACGCTGTGCAGTGGTGGAACAAATCCATATTAGGTTTAGTTAAATTATCTTGAACGGATCAGAAGTTATGGACGGAACAAGAGAAAGTTTTCTGAAGTATGGCAGAGACTATACCATCTTCCTTCTTTCACTGAGCATAAAAAATAGTTTAAAATCATTCAAAACACACAAACTCATCTATTACACCCAGTAACTCAGTTTTTTCCATTCTAGCACATATTAAAAAAAAAAAAAAAACTCCATCAATGTCCACCCATTTTTTTTTTTTTACAAAATAAAATTTATTATTTTCTTTCAAAGCCTTTCATTTGATGACTCCAAGTATATAACAAATCAAATGCTTAAAAACAGTAGTAATAAACCATTTCAAGATGCAGATGTGTATTATGCAGTGAGATCTTTTTATTTTGTTCTAATAGATGCATAACATCCTAAATATACTTTCACACTTGTAGGATTTATACAGTAAAATTGTAAATTGTGTTGTATTTTAATTTTACTATTTAACTCAGTTTCAATAAAACGTTTTCAACAAGTCTGAACTGCCTTGAGTGGGGCGTAGGCTATGTTGAATTCTGTATTTAACAAAGTTAAAGTCAACTCCTTTGGACAGATTAAAAAATAAAAATTAGAAACTTGTTGAAACATTGCATATTTTATCCAAAAACTTTGTCAGTCTAAGGAATTGCAATCAAATATTTCCTCATCATCATGGATCAACCAGTCTGTTGTTGATATCCAGAGCTATTCACATGATAAAGGAGGACCATAGCGTAACAGTTTGTTAGTGCCCTGATGGCTGCTCGCTATACTCACAGGGGGCTGAGTAATACTAGCAATAACAGCAATGTAAGCGGGGGACAGTCGGACACGGAGGCCTCCGCCCCTGTTTAATGATGGATGGGTTCATTTCACAAAGATGGCTTCCTTCACTCCTCTCTGAAAAGAGAGATCTCACCACTATCCTGTAAACTTTTTCTTTGACCTTTGCTGACACCTTTTTGTCGCAAATCACTGCTGAAACTTTTCTCCATCCACTCCATCCTGCCTGGACTTTCATTTTCACTTCTTTACCATATCCCCATTTTCTGGACAGTGGAACCCAAAATACTTGAAGTTCTGCACCTTTGTGACCTCCAGGTAAAAGGAGCACCTTAACTTCATTGTTCCACTGGCCTCCCTATCATTCACACACATGTACTCTGTCTTACTACGGCTGACTTTTATTCCTCTTCTTTCAAGTGCATACCTCCACCTCTCCAAATTCTCTTCCACCTGTTCTCACCACAGATCACAATGTCATCTGCATACATCATAGTCCATGCGGATTCCTGCCTGACCTCATCTGTTAGTCAGTCCATCGCCAGAGCAAGATCGTCTTGATCATAACAGCTATTTCTGGAGGGCAACGACAAACTGGTTGATCCACAACGAGAAGGGGCTATTTATAAGACTGATTTTATTGCAGCTCCTCAGAACGATTGTTTATGGATAAAAAACCGAAATGTTTCAACAAGTTTTTATTTATTTATTATTTATTTGTTTTTATCCGTCCATCCAGAGGACCTGATTTACCGGTAACTTTGTTAGCTTTGTCACCTGGAATACAGTACTGAGCACTGCATCAGGATATTTTGAATTGTCTAATTTCCCAGTGTCGCTGAATGCAACATGTGTCGACGCTATGTGATGACGTCATTCAAACCCGGTCTGATGAAAAAACACTGACTGTTTCCAAAAACATAAACCAGTAAAATCATGTCTGTCAATTATGCTGCTGGACTGTCGCCTTACGCAGATAAAGGTGTCTGTGGTCTACCTGAGGTAAAATATAAATATTACTTCTAGGTATTAATAGCTTTTCCAAACGGGTAGTTAGCATAGCAGCATTTGTGTATTTCGAGCTAATTGGTTTGAGTTTTAATACGAGGCCAGCACAAAAACACCGATTACCGAACAGATCTTCTTTGCAGATTGAGCTCTATGTGTACGAGTGTATTTGTTGCCACAATTAGCATGGCCAGCAGTCGTGTTACTTAATAATATACGACATTAAGTCATTTTGTAAATATTTGTGTGTGTGGCTGTTGTATAAAATGTAACATTTCCCATTAGTGAAGTCAAGAAAAAATATTCTGATAAAATACAATCCCTGCAGAATATTCTGTAGAAAATGTAATTTTCTTCTTTGCTCTATACCAATGTTTATTGTGTAACACTCCACTTGGTGTTCAGTCATAACAAGTAATTACAACTTGTTTCTATTTTAATGTTATAGCAGGACATTGTATCTTTTCAGGACTTAAACAGAAATGTTTTACTGTAATAAAAATGTAGAAACAAATTAAATTTGTGGGTTAAAAAAAAACCCAACGTATTAGAGTTGAAGAGTAAGTAGCAGCTAGGTGTTTTGAATCAAATGCTCTTCATTATCAATATGACCACCCTTGTCATAGCAGAAACTATCTATCTGCTGGTTTTAATCATGTAGGTGCATGTTAACAAAATGCCTAGATGAAAAGTTTCACTATAAGTGAGAAAAATAATTCAACAATCTTATTTTGGACATCCCAGCAAGTTCACCCCGAGGTCAGAGTAGAGGAGAAATTGCCAGGAAATTAAAGTTTATGATGGGACAATTTAAAAAGCACAAAACAAGTTTGATTTGTTGTGAAAGTTTACCAGAGGAAATTTGATCCTCTCTGTAAAGAACATTACAGCACTTCTTAGGTTTGCAGTTCACCAAGTTTTTAAACAAAGATTTTTGATTAAAGAAGACCAGTATACTTGGATAATAATATGCAAGTTTGGAAAAACTCAAACGCACAAAAAAAACAACAACATTGCATGCTAACTCTTAGCACGGAGATAGACAGACGGTGATCGTTGACTTGTTTAGATGTTTATTCTTATCCTCTGTTTACCTGTTTCCTCTATTTTTTTGGCTGAAGTTAGACAGAAATTATCGTAGGTCATGCTCAACAATCTGCAAGTTTTCTACATCAAAATGTCAGGAAAAAGAAAATCAACATGTTGAGCTGGTCCAGTTAAACTACAGACCTCAGTCCCAATAAATATTAAGTGGAAACTTAATGGAGCTTTTCTTAAACAAACCATCGAGAACTGAAATACTGATGTAAAAAAGAGTGGGACAGAAATCTTCTACGTCAATAGACTGATAGGAGCATACAAAGGATAATCACTGGAAGTTAATATATCAGGTGTTTTTTTTAATTAAGGTTGGATTTAACTCATTTTAAGAGCTGGTTACAGCTGGATGATTAACTGTAATTTAGTTTTTAAGCTCTTAAGAATTTTATGTGGGTAAGGTTTAAGTGTTTTATACCAAATCTTCATTTCCTCTTCTTTTGCTCATGTGTATAAATATTTAAAATAGGGGTTATATGAGAAATACTGTGACTAATCCCTCAATACACCCTGTAATTTATTTTGGTTTGAGTTAAGGTGGAGATTTATATACTTCATGTCATTTGTTGAAGATTGTGTTTCTGTTTTGTGGCAGAGGTTTGATACTCCAGAGGAGTTGAAGGTAAAGGCAGAAACTCTCGCTCAGTTGATTCAAGAATCTCAGTACTTGGTTGTCCACACTGGAGCTGGAATTAGCACCTCGGCAGGCATCCCTGACTTCAGGTGAGGCGTAATCCAGATCACCACACAATTCAGACACAATCAGATCGTTTCAGATTTTTCATTTTGTCTTGAAGTACTGCTGTAATTTGTTTGAGATACTTTGTACACCCCTCCAAACTAGGTAAATCATGAAGTACATAACATAAGGCTGCAAAAAAGCAGCAGAAGTGTTGTTGAAAGTGTACTCTTTGTACTGACTTGAAGTGGCCATTGGATTTAACCCTCATTTGCCTTCATGTGACAAAAAACATATGTGAGCAAATAAATATTTTGATGACTCAGTGTCAGTTTCAATCTTCTTCACTGGGATTCATCTTCTGTTTGCCAACTAGATTTAAGGTTTAATAGGTTGCATAAAAACCAATAAAGCTTTGTTTTTTTCTTCCATCGTAAGTGTTGATAGGAGCAGAGATTTGAGCAGAAATTGTTTAAGCTTGAGTGCTATAATTCAGTTTTATGAAGAAAAGCATTTCCCCTGTGGTACAAGCTTTCCACTGATCAAAGCAGTGCAGCAGGACCTCTCTTGGTAGTTTTCTCAGAAGCTCTCTTTTTCTCTTGCATAAGTTATTTTGTGTTATGTTCAAGCTACTCTGTATTTTCACAGCCTGCTGGTGAAAGTGCTTATATGCACAGTTTTTGAATATTTCACTCATCAAGGAAATAACAGATGAAATGAACAATTTCTAAAAACCCATCAACTGGATCAAATTAAGATTGCTGCTGCTGCTTTGATGCTTTTCTCTAGTTCTGTCGATGAGAAGCTGCAGACTAACAGAAACTGGTAAAAATAAAATAAGACGTGGACTCTTCAGTGACACCCAGATGTTTTCATACGTCTTGCTGTGTTTTAAAAATCGATTTTCTTCTCAGAAATAAAATCTTTCTTTTTAATCCTTGCATCACCAATAGGGTCTGTAGTCTTTTATGTCTTGAGCTCTAAACTGCCTTTCTGATACCTTGATGTTCATTTTCCATGAATAATCGTGTTTTTTCCTTTTCCTTTGTTCTTAAAGTACCGGTAATTTGGCTTGTAGCACAAGGTGGGAAGAGTTACCTAGAAAGCTGTAACAAAACATTGTTTTTGTCTTTTGCTGTAAAATTTCATAATGTAAAAAACAACTCTAAAAAAGTTAAATCTGGTCCTCTGGACATTAAAAACAAAACAAAAACAAAGTAAAACAACAAAAAAATGTAGAAACGTTTCGTCTCTCATCCGAGAGACTTCCTCAGTCTGAGGTGCTGTATTCAGCTCAGTCTCTTAAATAGCACCGTCTCAGAGTGGATCAAACATTTTGTTGCTGACAACCAAAACCAGCTGCTCACATGCTCAAGAAGGACCATCAGCCTAACAATGGATCATTAGCACACTGATGGCTGTTTACTACTCACAGAGGGCTGAGTGATACTAGCAATCACAGCATTGTAAGAGCGGGACAGTTGAACCCGGAGGCCTCCACCCCTGTTTAATGATGGACAATTTCTTTTCACAAAGATGGCCTCCTTTACTCCTCTCTCAAACCATCGTTCCTCTCTATCCAGGATGTGAACATCTTCATCCCTGAAAGAGTGACCGCTGGCCTGGAGATGAGTGTAGACCGCAGAGTCCTGGCCTGATGATGTTGATCTTCTGTGCTGGGCCATCCTTTTGGCCAGTGGCTGTTTTGTTTCCCCGATGTAAGACTGATCACAGCCCTCCTGACACTGAACAGCATACACAACATTACTCTGTTTGTGCCGGGGGACTGGATCTTTGGGATGAACCAGTCTTTGCCGTAATGTATTTTGGGGTTTAAAAGCCACTGGGACGTTATGTTTAGAAAATAAACGTCTCAGTTTCTCTGATACTCCCTCAACATATGGAATGACCACTGGTCTGGGTCTGGGTTCCTCCTTTTCACCTGATGGCTGACTGGAGTCCTGTTTGGGTTTCTTCTCTGCTTTCAGGAAGGCCCAGTTAGGATATCCACATTGCTCTAGAGCAGACCTGGGCGTTGTACGGCCCCAGGGCCACATGCGGCCCTTTGGTTGACTCTGACCGGCCCCCGTAAGAGGAATTACAAAATACATATGTAAACAAATGAAGTTAACCAAATCCAGATATAGATCCTCTCTCACTGATGATGTCAGCTTTGCTTCACATCTCCACCTCAGACCTTCAACCTGACTTTAACATTTCCATTAAAGCCCAACAGAGACTAGACTTCTCTCACTAAACAAGAAAAAAGAACTGATAAACACCAAATGAGATGTTTAGACTACAAATGTAGGCACGTAAAGAACCGGGACTTGAAATCACAGTTCAGTGACGATCACTATTATATGATGTTTCATACTATTTGGAGTACAAAGACAATATTGTGATATATTTAGAAAGCTAAGAACTTTTTCCAGCAGTATATAAAACTCAAAATGAGTTTTGGGGTGAATGTGACTGAAAATGATCACTAATATAACGTCACAAATGGTAAAAATGTTAACAGTTTACCATTGTACTGGGAAATTTAATTGAATAAATGACATTTTTTGTAAGGAAACCTTGCTTTTTCGTTGCTTAATCATAACAAATACTCTTACCAGCTTGTTAAAACAGTGCTATGTACTGCTTTTAATAATGAAATACTATTATTATGCAGTATTGAGTTAAGTTGAAATCAGGTCTCTCTTGTAATGAGTCCTCGAGGCTCAATGGGATTTACCTGTCTAAATAAAGGTTGAATGAAAAAGTCATTTGTGCCAGCCCTCCACAATATTTGTTGTTTCTCATGTGGCCCCATGGAAAAAATAATTGCCCACCCCTGCTCTAGAGCCTGTTTTCTGTGGGATTTCTCCTTCTGCCTGGCTCCTGAGCTAGTGGGGACACTGTCTGCTCTGTGATACAGAGTCCTGATGACTCCTAACTTGTGCTCCAAAGGGTGATGGGAGTCAAACTGCAACTACTGGTCTGTGTGGGTGGGTTTGTGGTACACCTCAGTTTGCAAATGTCCTCTATGACTGAGACCTCACAGTCCAAGAAAGCCAATTTGCCATGTTTTACATCTTCTCGTGTGAACTTGATGTATTTATCCACAGAGTTGATGTGGTCAGTAAAATGTTGGACTTCCTGAGATTTAATTTTAACCCAGGTGTCGTCAACATACCTGAACCAATGACTTGGTGGTGTCCCTGAAAAGGACGTCAAGGCTCTCTTTTCTACCTCCTCCATGTACAGGTTGGCAACAATAGGAGAAACTGGAGACCCCATAGCACACCCATGTTTCTGCCTATAATATTGCTCCCCATATGTGAAGTAGGTTGACTGCAGGCACAGTTTCAAGAGTTGACACAGTTGTTATGTGGAAAGCGTGGTCCTGCTGCTCAGAGTGGTGTCTGATTTTAATTTTAAACTGACCACCTCTACTGCATCATCAACAGGAATGCACGTAAAGAGTGATGTGACATCGTCCAGAGGAACAGATTTAACATTTTTAGATTTTTCTACCTGGATTATTGAGCATGCATCAGGGTAAAAAACAACACTCAGAGGTCACGCTTTGTCATTGTGACTCTGACCATCAGTGATTTGCTGCCCAAAACTTGGCTGACTGTTGGTGAGATACTTTTTTCTTGCGTTCTGCAAACACAAGGAGATCTCCTTGATTTTGTGCCCACTTTTATTTTATTTTTGTAGTACCTCAGTGCAGCAGAGGAGGGTGGTGTTTGCTTGTTATTTGTCACATTAAGCAGAAAAAGGCATCCTTTTGGTTCTCATTATTACATGGGAGTGGTGGCGCAGAGGTTGGAGAAGGTGGGCCTGTGATCAGAAGGTCGTCGGTTTGACTCCCCAGACAGACGATATCAAAAATGTGGGTGGAAAAGGTGAAACACCCACACCTGCCTCCACTCTCATTTGCCCCACTCTGGGCCCTTGAGTAAGAACTTTAACCTCCACCATCTGCTCCCAAACAGGTCTCTCTTGAAAATGAGTCCTCGTGACTCAGTGAGACTACCTGTATAAATAAAGGTTAAATAAATATTACATGATTTTGTTTTGCACCCAATAAATCCACACACCTTCAAACTCAAGTGATGCAAAAACTAAGATTTTATTTGTATTTAATGAGGAATTAAAGTAGTTTTACTTGAGGAAAATAATATGTTTAATTGTAAATCATCACTTGTTTTTTATTTATACACATGCACATGCTTAGGGATCTGAAACTGATAAATATTTGATTGATCCACCTGTCAGTCAACTGCATGTGACCTTGAAGGTTACATCATTAAAACCAAGGAACACTAATGTGAAATTTATTTTGCTTTTCACACACACGCATAAGACACAGTTCATGTTGCAGGTTTCCATGATGGACCGCATCAAAGCATATAAATGTATCAGCTTTGTATTAGTTTTCATTGTCACGTGACGGGTGATATGTGATGGTAATGACGTATTACACCCTGACGCCTCTCTGCTGATGAGCCTTTGAACCAGTCTCTGCTGAGCAGGCATTAAGCCATTCTGCAGATGAAAGATCGAGCTGAAAGCTCAAAATAAAAGCGATAGATGAGTCTGTTGCAGACGCATCTGAGGATTCGCTGTGTGCGTTCCCTCATCTGATGCATAGAGATAAGTTTTAAATTAAAAGTGGCAGGATGTTGGATGAGTCTGGCACCGCTGTGCTCATCACTTCAGTCAGATGCTTAAAACCAACTGATAAAGAGCACAAACTGAACCCTGTCTGAACAACAAATTCAATATTTCTAGTCTAAAATGTTCTTTTCACATGATTTTTTTTTTTCACATTTCTCATCTTTGCCCTGTTATTACTCAACTAGTAATTACAAACTCAGTCACCAAACACAAGCATGTTTTTTCTCCACTCTGCTGTTAGACCACCTCTCCAATCTTGTTAATGCCTTCTTCATGCATTCTCTTCAAGGGGACCCAGGGGTGTGTGGACGTTAGAAGAAAAGGGCGAGTCACCTCACTTCGATACCACATTTGAAGATGCCCGCCCCAGTTTAACTCACATGGCCCTCCTGGGACTGCAACGGGCCGGATACCTCAAGTACCTCATCAGCCAGAACGTAGATGGTCTGCATGTTCGCTCAGGGTTCCCCAGGTAACGTTGGCCAGCTTGAAACCATTTAACTCCCAACTCAAGGGCATTTGCTCTGAGGTTTTCCCGTTAACAACATGCAATCTGTCAACAGAACTAGTAAAGTACATTATTTATTTTTGTTGTTACCTGAAAGGGAACAGTTTATATCAACTGATGATAAATAAATATTTTAAATATCGTCTCACATCATAAATAACTGATCACTTGCTTTAGGGAGGCTCCATTCGTTCGTGCACCCACTCACCAACCACTTATTTTAATCTAAATGATTCAAAGGATGAAAGACATTGCAGTCTACAATTTTATCATTACATATCAGTAAATCCTACACTTTGAACCTATAAAGTGGTAATAATTTGTGCATCGTATGGTTGTGTTTATATTTGTGTGTTAATTTTGGCATTTTAAGCTACATTTTGATGCCTTGATCATCCTGATATCAGTTCCATAGATATGGCTTGATTTGTCTTGCTAATCAAGAAGGCCCCTGAAAAATAGGTCTGAATCCTGTTTTCACCATATTCCATTGAGGATTTATTGATGTCATTTGAAATAAAAATAACTCAAATCATGTTTTGATATCAGGGTTAGAAGCTTTGCTAGCACACAGAGAAAGTTGGAAAAATATACAACTTTTCTTCTTAAAGTCAGCATTATTTGTTGGTACTGCTCAGAAAAGTGCTTGAAAACATTCTTTAGTGTTATAATTAGTATAAAGTATTAATTAATCATATTTTGACAAAATCAAATTATCTAAAACTTTGCTACCGATGCACTATAGCTGCCTTTTACCTCACTAAACTAATTGCGACTCAGTCCTTGGTTCGATGTGACAAATCACTTTTTCCAATTACTCCATTTTATTACTGCACTGTTTTTATAAGTAAACACATCCTGGTTGAAATCAAGAGCAGTCATGAAATGAAAGATAAAAAATCCAATTATTTCCAGAAATAAATAAACAATATATAACAGAAACGTCTAAAAATGTTAAGTCTGGTCCTCTGGACATTCAAAAACCAGACTTAACTTTTTTGATTTTTCAACCTAGATTACTGAGCATGCATCACAGGATACAACAGAAACGTTTACACGCATGCACACACACACAAACACACACACACACAAACTAAAAATAAAACCCTAATATGTATAACTGGAATATACAGTACAGGTATATTCCAGTTATACGTATTAGGACTTTTTCAATATTTTTTTATTATTATTTGTTGATCACACAGTATAAAACCCACACACACTGCTTAAATTAGTCATTACCATAAATCATTAACAAATTGGTTGCTAAAGCATCAAGCGCACGTTGCAGAATATTGCTCCAGAAGAAACAATAAAGCAAACTATTCTTAAACGCAGTTGGAGGAAGACCTTTGAACAATGTCCATCGGTGTACCAGTCAAGGTCCTGCATGAAGCAGAAGGCCACATTGGGATCTGTGAGACCAACACTGGAGAAGTGTACAGCCGATAAGTGGAACAAACCAGTGCTGATTGTGATTTTGTTAATGTTATTGAGAAGTTTTACGGTGTTTTTAGTCTATTTCCTGCAAACTGAAGCCAAACAGTCGACTTGCGGTCATGTGTTTGCGGGACGTTTGTTTTTGCACACAGCTTTCAAAGTTCATGGCACTCACAGACGCAGAGCTCCTGGGAAACTTCTCCTGCTGCCGTATACGTCACCGCGCGGGTTTCTTCCCTTCCTCTTCGTCAACATTCTGAATAAAGTGTCCTGGTGCCAAATTTAAAGGGAAAAACAATTTTTTTGGGTCTTGCAGAAGATAGATTTGACTTGGAGTGTCTCACCTCAAACATCACAAGAGAATAAAAAGAAAAAATTAAATAAAAATAAATTGGCCAACAAAATTGGCCTGACCTATATTTCTTTTGAAAGCGTTTGGTCAGAGCTGAAAAGTACCTCCGCACAAAGAAAACCTTTAAACTTTTAAAAGCTTCAGCGTGCAGCCATGGAACAGAGGCTGAAACTAATGATGAATCTGACCCGGAGAGTCCGTTTCACTTTAAATTTCACTGACGGTGCTCTGCTGAGCGCTTTGAAGTTGAATGAGAGGGAGTGGAGGCTTCTATAGGAAGGTGATAACTGTTGGGTTGTGACTCATTGTTTTGAATTGGAGGCTGCTGCTTTGTAATGACAGCTGGAGCAGCAGCGCCACGGCCGCTCCGATAATCTAAAATGAAATGCTCAGCGTAACTGAAAACGCTCAGTCTGTCTAAGCCACGATGAACTGAGCCCACGGCTGAGACTCTCAATTTTTTGACTCCGTACATCCAGACGCTACGCATATTGGAGGACTTGGTTTTCCTGGAAGCCATTTAAATAACTCTTCCTCCTCGCTCAATCAGGTTTTCTGGAATGAGGTCAACCTGAAGAAATAGTTCTCAGAGAAAATTACCAAAACTAGTCGGGATTAATTCACAGGTGAACACTTGAAATACTGATCAAGTGTCGCATAAGGTCAGAGTAGAACATATTTTGTTAGAGAGCTTGTTTGCTTAAGCTGAATATGTTTTATTTGTAACGTTTGTTTCTCTTTCCCCATCAGAGATAAGTTATCAGAGCTTCATGGGAACATGTTTGTGGAGGAGTGTGAGAAATGCGGCAGGTATGTGCAATCACACTGATCTCATCAGTCACCACTGATCCACAAAACACCATAAAGAGGACAAACTGTTAAAAAGAGATGTTTTTTTATTTCTGCCTGAGATCATTTATTCGGGTATCTAAAGCCACTACAGACTCAGAATCTCAAACCTTCAGGGCTCTGTTACATCACAGCATCAGCACAGCTGTCTTAAATTATTCATCTATTAATGCTCTCACATTACTGTGTCTTATGTTCTGTTAGGTGAAGAATAACGACTGATAGGTTTTATATGTAGCTCAAACATAAATCCATTCTTACGTTCAGAAATGGCACTTGTAGATTATCTTCTGGGGAGTCATAATGTTCATCCATCCATCCGTCCGTCCGTCCGTCCAGCCATCCATCCAGGTCTCTCTTGTAAATGAGTCCTTGTGACTCAATGAGAGTAACCTGTGTAAATAAAGGTTGAATTAAAAATCTTTACCCACTTCTTCCTTTTCGGGTCACGGGGGTCGCCGGTGCTCATGTCCAGCAATCACTGTGCAAGGGGTGGGGTACACCCTGGATGGGTCTCCAGTCCTTCACAGGGACACATAGAGACAAACGAGACAAACAATCATTCACTCTCCCACTCACACCTAGAGACAATTTAGAGTTACCAATCAGCCTAACATGCATGTTTTTGGTCTGTGGGAGGAAACCGGAGCACCCGGAGAAAACCCACACATGCATGGAGAGAACATGTAAACTCCACCTAGAAAGGCCCCTGGACCGGGGTTTGAACCAGGGACCTGCTCGCTGAGAGGCAGCAGCTCTACCAGTTGCGCCACCGTGCTGCCCTAAAAAACATTCAAATATCTTCAATTAAAGCTGCCATTATGGGTCAACCATCTGCAAACCATCTTTCTGTCATACAAGGCTTTCCCTGACGATGGGCTTTAAAGATGTTCTGTGTAAATAGAGGACTGTGCACACGTCTCAGTTCTTCATGTGGGTCGTTGTGTCCTTTAAAAAGCTGCTCACATCTGTTTTAATTGGTCAAATATCTCTGTCAAATAAATAAATAAAAGGGACGTGTTTTCATTACAAAATCAAACATGTGAAACTTGTAAAAATTAAATAACTTCAACCTTGAAAAATTAAAGCCCATGTTTATTTTTAAGCCTAACTGGAGCTACGTATGGACAGCATCATTTCTACTCTTGCTTTAGTGTTCTTAATCGTGGTGTATTTTGTCAACTTGGGCCATCTCGACATATAATTTATTAGATTATACCAAAAAGAGTGCATAAAAAAAAGAGTGTCCTGTTTGAACTGCAGTAAAGAAAAATGTCTGAAGTTACCAGTCAAATGTTTTCTACCAGATTCCTACATGTGTTCTCTTGTGAGAGCTTCTCATTTGGTGATAAAATGCTTCAAGTATTATCTCGTGTGTACCTGTACATATAATTTTGAATGGTAACTTAAATCTGTGCTTGCGGTCTGAAAATAAACTCCTTAGTGGCTGCCTCCTTCCACCTCGTAAATTTAGCTACAGAGAAGGAAAGTGTGAAGGCAAGGTTTCAGATGGGGGGGGGGGGGGGGGGCTCGTAATCTGTCACCGTGGCATTTTGACCAGAGAGGTCACAGACATTTCATTAGCACCTCAGGAAACTGTAAATAAATTGTGGAGAGTATGGTTTCATATGAAACCAGTTTAATTTTTTTTCATCAGCTCCACTTGTTTAGATAACAAAAAGCCAACTGCAGCTAAAATGTGTTTCACAAAACGTGCAGAACGGAGGTTCAGCTACTGTTCAGTCACATCAGCATACATCACATCTCAGATTGTTTGTGTCAGCAAATCTGCTCTGCCTCCTCAAAGATGTACCCAGGTTTTTGTAGGTTAAAGATAGCAGTGTGTCTGTTTATTAAACATTAGATAGCACAAGGATTTAAAACATCCTTAGAAAGAATGAAAAAACAGCACGCTTGTTAATATTTATGTGCTACATGGGTAAAAGCTCAGAGGGGCTGAAGCACACTCTGCAGCAGAAGAAAAAAAAAACATGCCTGTAATAAACAAATGCTGCCGTACATCAAAGGTGTAATGGTGTGTACGATGCATTCTCTGCACACGCAAAGCACCGTCATAATTAATGCCGAAATTAACTTTAGATTCGTTTATAATACCTTTCAAAACAACACGCCCTTATTCAGAGGAGAATTTCCAAAAGGTTAATGCAAATTCATTATCTCCAAATGTTGCTAAGGAACTCTACTGCGGCTTCGTTTTTCCTCAGCGGCTTAAATTCTTTCAATCAATAAGTTTCCAATGATGAAAGTGAAAGTTGGAGACTGCAGAACAGATGTACATTTAAACAACTCTGCAGCAACCAGATGTGAAAAGTCCTTGTTTGTCCTCCAAGAGCGTTTTTTGCAAATCATCCTTGATGTGAAGAATTGATGAGCTTAGACTGGTTTGTTTTGTGAGTGTGTATAAAGATGCCCCACTGGAGCTTGTGAGACAGCTTTCTTCTCCTCCTGTTTGAAGAGGAAATGGCCTCGGATGCATTCAAGTGTTAAACTTTGGGGATTTGTGGTGTTCCAGGCAGTATGTCAGAGAAAAGGTGATCGGCGTGATGGGTCTGAAACCGACAGGACGTTACTGTGAAGTGGTGCGATCCAGAGGGCTGAGGGCCTGCAGGTAAAACATGCCTGGGCTGGTGTGTTTAAAAACCTAATAAAACAGTTTATCATCAACTTATTTGTTTTTGATTACAAAAAGAGGAAAGCTGATCAGCACCATTCTTGACTGGGAGGATGCTCTTCCTGACGGAGATCTGAACAGAGCAGATGATGCAAGCAGGTAAGACTGTTTCATCGTCCGTCTTTATATCAGAGTAACACACAGTTCTTTACCTTTTCTGTGCTTATTTCCTCCAACAGCACTGGTTCAGATCTGTTCTGTGAAAGGAAAAATGTAACATGAGGTATTGAATTGATTTGTGTGAGCTCTTTGCTGCTTTAGTGACACTTTTTCTGTTTTGCTTTATTTGAAATCCTTTTTGGAGTTTTTTTTTTATGCTTTTCGGTCTGATTTAATGTTCCCTTATGAACACATTTATTCATTCCTTCAGCCATAAAAGCTTTTACGACGTGTTTACTGAGCAGCAAAACGAACTGGATGCACATGTGTCACCTTGATCTGCTGGCACATAATAGATGCTTAATTACCATTTACATTTCAGAGAGGATATTTGGAGTACAGACCTTTGAACTCTGAATTTTTGGGTAAAGGTAAAAATGTAAAAAAATAAATGTATTATCCAAAGCTGGTTTACTGTCCGGCTACAAGGTTACTAAATGTTGGATGTTGAAAGAGATGAACAAATTAAATTAAACTAGAGAAATTGCATTTCCTGTGAAAATGCATTGTGAGTGCATATTGCAGAAGTACTTGTTGGAAAACAGCTGAAATTAACTAAAAAGCATACTGAAATAGAAGAACTAGCCTAAATTTGCAGAAGAAAACAGCAATAAGACGTATTTGCTGAATTAGTTTTGAATAAGCAGAAATGAGCACAAAAACTAGGAAATTGGCTAAAAAAAAGGCTGAAATGAGCAGTATATAGCTGAAAAGTAGCTGAAAGTGCAGAAAGAAGCTTAAACTACCAAAAAATGTGGAAAGAGTTGAAATGAGCTAAAAAATGTGGAATTAGTTGAAAAAGCTAAATTTAACATAAAACAGCTTAAAATTAGCTGAAAGAGCAGAAAAAGCTTTAACTAGCAGAAAAAAGCTGAACAGAGCATAACAAGCGGAAACAAACATAAATAAGTTAATTAGGCTGAAAAAAGCAGAAAACTTGAATTTATCTGAAAATAGCTAAAATTAGCTAAAAAAAAAAAGGTAGTTGAAAATGTAGAACAAGCTTAAATTAGAACAAAGAAATAACACGTTTGCCAAATTACTGGTAGATTGATAGTCTGAACTGAGCACAAAAAATGGAAATTATCTGAAAAAAGCTGAAATTAACAAAAAATATATTTGAAAAGTTGCTTTAAAAAAAGCAGAAAGTAGCTAAAATTACAAGAAGGAAGTGGAGAGAGCACATTTGTGCTGAATTAGGCTGAAAAAAGTTAAAATGAGTGCAAAAAATGTGAAATTATCTGAAAATGCTTACATTAGCATAAAACTACTACCAGTATGTAGTAGCTGAAATAGTAGAAAAAGCTGAAACTTTCAGAAATAAGCTGAAAGGGGTAGAACAAGCTGAAATTAGCAGGAAAAAGTTAGAAGAAGCACAAAAATGTACTGTGGTTAGCATAAATAATCAGAAAGGAGCACAAAAAAATCTGAAAAACAGCTTAAATTAGCTGAAAGTAGATGGAAAAAGTTGAAATTTGCACAAGGAAGCTGAAAGAAACTGAACCAGAACAAAATGTTAAAGGAGCAGTGAAAGGTTGTAAACAGATCTAAAGATATGAAGGATGTAAAATGAGCTCAATTCATTTTCTGAGGGGAAAAAAGTGTCAGAAAAGGCTAAATATTTCAACAAGCTAAAGTTGCACCAATACCAAAAGTCATAGCAGGATTGTCCTGAAAGAGCTGAATGTTTTGATTTATGATTTAAACTGCGGGACAAGAATTGCGTCGAAAAATGTATGGAAGAAAAATGGATCACAATAGTGTGAATGCTTCACAAACATTCCCACTATTAGATCTCTTATGGTGGCTGTTTGCTTTCTTTAGGTTGCTTTGCTCATTTGAGGGAGTGTACAAGCTGTTAGTAAAACAGCGTTGCATCCAGGAACCACAGTGTTAGCAACTGCACTGACTCAAAGCTTTAGGTTCAAAAGTGTGTGTGCAGATTCATGGTTATTGTGATGCTCCAGTAGAAGGCAAGTAGACCCTTTCTTGCATTTTAGTGTTTATTACTTCTCTTTTAAAAGGCTTGCTTTTATTTGTCAAACTATTTAATTAGCATTCAAATTTAGGGGTTATGACTCCGTTAAAATTATATTCTTGATTCCTAAATCAAAATGGATTCAAAACCATTCTTGATGAAGTACAAAAGAGCATTTGTTTTGTAAGTTAAGACCATTATGTCAAAGAAATGAGCAATGGAGGCAGAATTGAGAGCATTTTAATTTAAAGGTTTGACTAATTACTGTTCATTCTTTATATTGTTAAAGAAATAAAATTAGTAGGCCTCATGAATTTAGTCACGGCGAAACACGTTCTTTGACTTCATACAAGCAACAAGGCAGATCCCATGTCAAATAAAAAAGTAATGCTGTGTTAAAAATCCATAAGTTGCTGCTAACATACTCTTCTTTCTGCTGAAGAAAGCTTACACTTTTAATCATTTATAAATGGGCTACCTGCCTTAATTTGATGCAGTGTTGTACTGAAGCAACACTGTATGGACCTTATCACTATGTGGGGCTTGAAAACCATATAAATACATAAAACTGTGTTTGAAACACTTCATCCACTGCAGCATATCCCAGGACAACGGCACAAAGTTCTGCGGTTGTTCTTCAGTAGTGAAAGTCCGTTAAAAACAAGACTTCCTGACTTTATGAATTTTGTACAGCTCAGGTACAAATGTAACTACAACACATCTTAGGTAGTTTGTAACTTTTATTCAAAACAGATGTTAAATTTTCTAATCCTTACTTTGCAAGACTGAATTTCTCCTCCCTGGAACATCACTGAATCCAAAATGTGACCAAACCGTTCACTGATGACAACACTGCCTGTACTTTCTACTGATTTTTCCCCACTCCACATGGATTATATTCAGAAAACTAGCTCAATGATCATCTGTGCACCAGGAGTCTCAGAAAACAGCAGTTTCTGCACAGTCTCGGGCACTCCAGCAGGAACTAACTTGCTTCCTGGCCCTTCTTTAACAACACTGACATGTCTTCAGTAAAGAAGCACAAAGGAATGTGCAGTAAGTCAGCGTTGCCACACACAAAAACTGTTTTGCATTGTGCTGCAGCTTCTCATCTGGAAAACAGCAGTGAGGGTTGAGACTTTGTCTTCATATGAAATAAAGTAGTACATTTTTTTTTTTCAAGCTGACAACATTTTTCTTCCACTCAGAGCTGCAAAAGTGGCAGTTTTCCCCACTCCCAGATAAAAATACCTTTATATTAAAAGTACTCAAAGTGACAGGGTTGCATTTTTCTATCATTAGTGACTTTCCCAGCCGGCTACATGCTATTAGCCAAGGTAAAAGTGAAATTTAAATATATACATTTTCACAAGTCGGTGTCAAATTTGTGTATACAGCACATTTAAAAACAACTTTGACTAAATTGCTTCACAAGGTGTCTGAAATCTGTTTAATTGGAAAAGCCACAATTAAACACAGCTGTTAATCGTCAGCTTAAAAGGCTGTCCTCCTGATACCTGCTCTGTTCCTTTTGTTAATTTACACAAGCCAAAGAAAGATGGCTGAACATCGTCTCGATGTGTGTGTTTTGTAAGTACACAGGACTACCCAGTACTACACTTTGAATCCTGAGACCCAAACCTTACACATGGTGACCTTGCAGATGAAAAAGCTGTGGTACCGTATATCTCTGTCAATAGGCGCATTAATCCCAAAGCATTGCTACAAACTCTTGAGGACCCAGTGGTGGTGGTGGTGGGAGGGGGGGTTGGTATGTTTACCATATTTTAAAGCAGCACCTCTGCAGTAATTGATGAGTTTCCTATTAGTTTATGCTGTGCATGTTAAAATTTTATTTGGAGAGGTTATTTTTGTAATTGCCATGCTATTTGTTTAGTCATGCCGTCAAGCTAAAATTGATTTAAATCCCCTTGAAGCCAAACTTGCCCAAGTACTGCCGTTCTTCACTCTGACTTTCATGCACACCCACTTGTACGAATTACCCTTGAGGAATAACTGGCAAATCTGAAGAATGTCAAAGAAGGCACATTTCCTGTTTCTGCCTGATTTTTATCCCATCTGTTGGCTTGCAGACGAGCAGACCTGGCACTGACTCTGGGCACGTCCATGCAGATCAAACCCAGCGGGAACCTCCCACTCCTCACAAAGCGCAAAGGAGGGAAGGTGGTAATAGTCAACTTGCAGCCTACTAAACATGTGAGTCGTATCATCAGAATGTCACTTTATCACAGCTGCATGTCCAGAGTTTCATCTAGGAAACATTTAATTTATTTTAAGTAATAGTTTGAAACATATTTGTGAGTGTTGTGCACAAGTCACAGGAGAAAAACTACTTTTACATTCTTACACGTCTATTACCAACCCTGAAAAATTAGGCCAATGCAAAAGTATCTAAGTTCAGTTCCTCAAATGGCCACTTGGAAAAAGAAATTACATGTACACCCTAAACCACGGGTATCCAAAGTGCGGCCTGAGGACCATTTGCGGCCCTTGGAGTGATTTTGTGCGTCCCACAACTGCAGTTTAACAATGGTATCATTTTGGCCAGCAGGCTTAAGAGGTCGATGCAGACTTTCTGCAAATTAGTTGGTAATCATTTGTTATATAATGTTTAACAGCAAAACGAATGAAAAACAATCTTCTCAAAATGAGCAATATTAAGCAAAATACAAACCTTTGGCTATATTTTTTTTTTATTTTCACTTCATGGTACAAAGCACCAAAAAACCTTTACTGATTTCTACCAGAAAGACTTTTGGATAATGATTCATTTAAATACTGCAGTTGATAAAATAATCAAGAGGGGAATTGGACATTTTTAAATGAATATAACGTGGTGTCATCTACATACGAGTTGATCAACTTTATCAAACCTTCTTTGAATGTGTTGTAGCGATTGAGCGCTGGACGATTTTTCAGAACTTCCATCAGCCTTTTTGGGCCATCCATGGTCCAAAAGGCTGATCGACCCCCTTTTAGAAGGACACACTCAAATTACACTTTTGTTGCTGAGAACAGACTAAAATTAACTTTTCCAGCACAAGAAAACAACAAACATAGACCCAACAAATCAAATAAATCAAGTCATTTTTAATTAAAAAAAAAAAAAAAAAGCTTAGTGCTTATGAGGCTTTTAACATTTTGGATATACAACAGTTTAAAACTCTTCACCAAAATTAATACCATATTTTCCAGATTATACATCGCTTTGGAATATAGGTCACATCAGTCAAAAATGCCTCATGAAGAGGAAAAAAACATATAAGTCACTTCGGAGTATAAGTCGCATTTATTTAGACATGGATTTCACAAAGTGTAAGAACAGACATTTAATCTGAAATAACAATAACACACAGAACAAACGTGAGAACAGGCTTCATTAACATAAGAAGCCAACAAGTCTGACAAGCAAGTTACCAGTAAATTCATCAGTCCCATTCCACATCACTGAATCCATTGAATTCTTCATCCTCGATGTCGCTTCTGAACAACTCCGTCAACTTCGGAGGAAGATGGGTGGGTAGCAGAAGAGGAGCAACATTAGTTGTCAAAAACCTAGAGGGCCCCCTTGTGGCTGCAAATGGTAATGTTTACTCCAACTTTTTTCACTCAGGTCATCTGGACAGTTTCTTTTTTTCTTTTTTTTTGTGCTGAAATGTTTCGCCTTCGGTCCAGAAGGCTTCATCAGTCAAGGAAACACACAACAAAACTGATTCTTCCCCCAACAGCTTACTCCAAAGTGGAACAAACCAGTTCTGCTTGTGATAAGATGGTCTTTTTTGGTCCTCCATTGCCGGCCCTCTTCCTTGTTGACAGTCTTGTCAAACTGGTTGAAAACAATAAAGTCCATGCTCAATAATAATGTTTACTCTTTGGTTCATGTCATGAACATTTAATGCGTCAGTCAAAAATTGCATCATGAATAGGGAAAAAAAAACGTATAGGTTAGATTTAGATTTATTTGTTATGTGCAAAATCAACACAAGGTCAACAATGTAATGAGATGCTTAGGGCGAGAAGAACCATCTCGACTCGCCAAAAAAAAAAAAAAAAGAAAGAAAACAACAAGAAATATCAAATCATGCATCAAAAATACTAAAAAATATACTACTAACATACTAAAAAACATGTTAAAAATACTACTAGCATACTAAGAAAAACATATTAAAAATACAACTAACATTAAGAAAAACATATTAAAAAAATACTACTAACATATTAAGAAAAACATTCAAAAATACTACTAACATACTAAAATACATATTAAAAATACTACTAGCATACTAAGAAAAACATATTAAAAATACTACTAACATACTAAAATACATATTAAAAAAATACTACTGACATTGTAACGAGTCTGTATGGATCAGCACAAGACCTGACTCAGGACATTAAAATAAAAGGTTTTATTTATTAAAGGCGTTAGTCTGGGGAGGATCCGAGCCTCAGTTCTGGTCCAATCTATGAAGACAGACAGGTTAGTGACTGCAAAAAGGTTCTGGGAGCTGAGAGAGTCGGTGTGCACGTCACTAACCTTCTGTGGCAGGAGCAGGGCTGAGACAGAGAACGTTGGAGGGCTGGGCAGGAAACAGAATCCAGGGACGTAGCAGGGGTCGAGAGCCAGGAGCTGTGTGAACAGGCAAAAGGATGATCCGTAGTCGTGGTCGAAGAGGAGAGCGAGGTTGTACCATGTAGGCAGAGAGTGTGGTATCCAGACAGGGGCAAAGACAAAGCGAGGAGTCAAGAGGGAAGCTGTGGTCAAAAACAAAGAAACTAGGAACAAGCGAATGCTGGATAATTTACTGGCTGTGAGGCTTTCAATAATCTGGCACTGAGGAGAGTGAGAGTGGAGCTTAAGTAGTGAGCTGAACAGGTGTGGCAGGTGAGTGGTGATTGCAGAGACAGGGTGCAGCAGATGAGTGCAGATTGCTGAGAGAGAGTGACAGGAGCAGAAAATGGGTGATAGGCAGTGCAGGACCAAACAGGATGAAATAAACAGAAACTGAGGCAGGAAAAAACGTGAATGATCTTAAAACAGGGGCTGTGATATGAGGAGCAGAGGCTTAGGCAGATGGGGGGGCAGCGGGGGCCGCTGAGCGTGACAGACATACTAAAATACATATTTAAAAAAATACTACCAACATACTAAGAAAAACATATAAAAAAATACTACTAACATACTAAAATACATATTAAAAATACTACTAAAATACTAAAGAACAAGGCACCAAAGGTGAAAAGGAAATACATCTACAGTGTGATTTGGTTAGCAGTGAGGTTCTTTCAACATCATGGTTCTGTTCTGTTAGTGGTGTGGTCTTGTTAGCAGCTTAGCAGGTCTTGTTAACAGGTCCGGTCCGCAGCTTGATGGTAATAAGGACCGCAGCAGCTGCCCTCACAGACCACAGTCTAGAACCAGGTCCGGCAGATAGAGAACATCCCAGGTATTCCCAGGTGATATAAGTGGCTTCGGCCTATACGTCGCAGGACTGGCCAAACTATGAAAAAAGTGTGACTTAAAGTCCGCAAAATACAGTAAACTTTTGTCCTTTCTCCAAATTATTATTCACGATGAGAGTTAAATTCACATTTTTGTGGCCCACGAGTTCTTTCATCTTGATAGTTTTGGCCCACATATGAAAAAACTTTGGACACGCCTGCCCTAAACACTCTTGTTTTCCCGAACTATATTTAAAAACACTGTCAGGGCTTACCTTCAAATGTTTAATTACCAGGTTTATTCGCACAATTTCCCATGGAAAGTTTCCAACGTAGAAAATTCCAAAAAATTTTAACCCTAAGCACTTTGAGTAGGATTTTTTTAATCAAAGCAGTTAGACTATATAATTCTTATTTTTGATTTATACAGTAAAATCGTACCTTTTGATCAAAGTTTTTGTGTCACCATAACGTCAAACTAGTCCGTGCCTAACACAGTTTTCTTCCTTTGCTCATACGTAAAATTACAAATGACCAATACAAGGCATCAGAACAGTTTTCCATTTGTCATAACATTATGTGCTTTAAATTTGATGTTTTATTGCTGATTAAACATTTAAATTGTTGCTGTCTAACAGTTTGTGTGTACTGTGAAATGCTAACAGTAAGCCTAATAATAAGCAACGACTGAAATAATATTTATAACTTGGCATTCTAGCAAAAAGTCCTTCAAGTTTTTAAAGATGTTTTTATTGTATGTTGAAGCCACGCCTGCAGCTAAAACAGGTTCAACTTCTCAGTCGCTTGACAGAAACAAAAACAATTAACTTGAAAAAAAACCTTGAATCTCTTGATTAACGCTTCAATTTGTATTCTAGTTTATTCTGAGTCTTTAACACTTTGCAGATTTGTAATTACTCGTAGAAAACATTTCATTAGGTGAGTGATTGCAGTGAAGCCCATCATTTGAGGGCTAATTATAATTTTCAGGTCTGTTCATTGCAATCAGACTCAAACTGGGAACTCTGACATGAATAAAAAATTAGACAAATGATGAGATGTGTCTTATTTGTTTTTTTTTTTTTAATAACAGATTAAAGAAAGAAGTTAGATTGTTTTATACATTTTTAAGTTTGACTCATTAAAAACTCTCAGAAAGCTTGATATCCAGTACTCCTACTTTGTTTGTGTAATTATCTGTCTTGCAGGACAAACACGCCCACATGCGCATCAATGGCTATGTGGACGAGGTCATGAAACAGCTGATGGAGCTGCTGGGTGTAGAAATCCCAAAATGGGAGGGACCAACTGTTTGTGAGAGCTCCACAGCCCCATCCGAGTCCAGCCCAGACATCAAACCACCTCACAACATTCCTGCAAAGCAAAAGGTGAAAAGAGAAAACATTGAGGAGAGAAAAAGAGAAGTAGCAAAGGTTGAGAGCATCAAGGAGGAGGCAGTTTCTGTAAAGAGGGAGCGAGCAGACTTGTCGCTGGAGACAAACCAAGATAAATAGCCTCAGGTACTTTGTCCTCATGCCAAGTTAACAACAATTACCCGTCCAGAGAGAGACCACACGCCTGAAGGTGATGAGTTTGATGATCGAGGACAGAAGTCGTTCCTATGGCGCCCAGAGCAGAGACTCTGATTTTGTTGATCTGGCGCTGCCTTTGTAAGGAGCAGTGAAGCGAGACGGACTCACAAATTGGACGCTTGTTTGGAAATCTTGTTTTTTCCAATAAGAACACGTGTGAATACACGGATATCGATGTAAACGAAGCTTTATTTTCTTGGGTCTTTACCCGAGCAGGCCAGTCAGACGAGATCTGGAGCACATCGTTATAGTTAAAGTTTGTTAATAAGGTGTAAGATTGCTGCACCTTATTAATATTTATAGCTTGTGCTCCAGATCTAGTCCCTGCAGATCCAGCCTTTAAAGTCTCCTTGGTTTGATACATTATGAAAAGGCATATCAAGCCAGTATCTCCGTGTCAGACAGATTCTGCCACACTGCGTATAGTGAGTCTGAAGGATTTTGGGTCATGTCGGGTTTTTTGGACCATAAGGGAATCATAGTCATGCTGTGTGTTTCTAGGAGCAGAATTTGGTAGCCGGGTAAACGCATCATATTTCTTCAGAAACAAAATGCTGTTTTTATATTATATGTTGTTTATATTAGCACGTTTTGGCAATAAACACTTAACATTTTATGAATATAAACTTCACCTTTATGTGTTTATCATCTGGCTAGTTGCAGTTTTGGGAAATAGAAATGACTTTTGTTCCATTAAGATGTTGATGTTGAACTGTTTATGATTTATACGTCGCTCAGCACCTTTGTTTAGCCATTTAGAGATTTTAAAGTGGGTTTGTGTGAATGTTATGAACAAAAATTATGTATTGTACCTGTTTTAGGTAATTCTTTGAACAACTTCAGTGTGGAAAAAAAAAATATAATTCTGATCAGACTGATGAGCTAAAGGCTAGTCTGAGTGAGGCCACGATCAAAGTCGATTTCTGCCATCCTAAAATAAATTCATTCTGATCCGTAAATATTTTGTAAACCTTTACACCACACAGGGATTTATTTTTAAAACTTTGTGGTTATTTCCAAGTGCTAATAACGGCAGCTAGCTGTAGCTGTAACTTATGATGTAGCCTATTCCTTCAGGAATATTGTCACAACATGTTGTTTGCTTGAGCTACTGTGAAATTTTGAGAACAGCAATTCACTTTACATGAGTGAACTCTTACCCCTTACTCTCCTAGACACCTGAGCGGTGCTTAATTTGAGCCGGATCCTGCCGGAACATGAAACATAATAATTAATTCAACCTTTATTTAGTCAGGTAAATCCCATTGAGCCTCGAGGACTCATTTACAAGCAAGACCTGATTTCAACAAAGAATGATGACAACAATGGACAACAATGACAACAGTAGACAGTTATAAAAAGTCATACAGATTTTTTTTTTAATCACCCGCTGTTTTCTTTTAAAATTTTATATTAATAATAATAATAACCTTTATTTAACCAGGTTTGTCCCATTGAGATCAAAATATCTCTTTTACAAGAAAGACCTGGCCAAGACTGGCAGCATATAGAGAGAGGGGAAAAAACACTCAGTAAAATAAAACACTCAGTTACAACACATAGTCACAATAAACAGACTTTTTTTTTTTTAGCCATCCTATTTGTTTAAAAAAAAAAAAACTGGAGTAGGACTTTTTATAACTGTTTATTGTTGTCGCTGTTGTCCATTGTTGTCATAATTTTTTGTTGAAATCAGGTCTCTCTTGTAAATGAGTCCTCGAGGCTCAATGGGATTTACCTGTCTAAATAAAGGTTGAATGAATAGACTTACAATAAAACAAATGACTCAATTAAAACAATAGCAATTCTGCAACTTGAACATAATGGGATCTATCATGATATTAAATACATTCAGAGATACTACTGTTCTAAGTTTAAGCTTTGATTGCAAATTGTTCCATGAGGTTGGAGCAGAAAAGATGAAGGCATTCTTCCCCTTTTCTGTTCTGACATGAGGAACACGAAAATTTAAAAAGTCTTGAGACCGGAGGCTGTAGGTCCTGTTGTTTAAAGTTAACAGAGATGAAAGATAAGGTGCTGTCAACTTAAGAATAGCCTTGTAAATCAAAACATACCAGTGGCCAAGCCGGTGTACATGTAGAAATGGCCATTTTACCTTAGCATACAAGAGACAGTGATGAGTTAGGGCTCTATAATTTGTAATAACCCACAAAGCACCAAGATACACGCTATCCAGCATGTGATGACATTGAGCAGAGGCGTTCATGTATAATACATTGCCATAGTCAATAATCAGAAGAAAAGTTGACTCCACCAATTTCTGCTGTACCCTAAAAGAAAAGCAGGCTTTATTCCGAAAATAAAATCCAAGTAAATGCTTCAGTTTATTTACAGTAGTTCTTGAATTCTATTAAATGCATTATGCATGTATGCAAATACTTCTGTGGGTGTAGGTGCAAAGCAATATATGACTGTATCATCTGCATAAAAATGAATTACTGCATTTGAAATATCCTTTCCAAAATCGTTAATATACAAGATAAATAACAAAGGTCCTAATACAAAACCTCGCGGTACCCCCTTGTGAATAAACTGAACTCCAGAACAAAAACAATCTAACTGGACAGCCTGGGTTTATCTTTAAGATTGCAAACCATCCAACTGTATGTGTAGAAAACCCAACTGTTGTTAGACGGTTAAGTAGAATGAAGTGATCCACAGTATCAAAGGCCTTAGAGAAATCTATAAGTAGTGAAAGACAACACAATGATTTTATCTAGAGCTTCTGTTCTATCATTTAGAACCTTTAATGCTGCAGTGGTAGTACTATCGGTATGTTTTTTTTTTTTTTTACAAGATCTTGATTGAGAAATCAAAAGAATAGAATTAGTGGACAGATATTATTTTACTGATTCACTAACAAGGGACTCAAAAGACTTTTGCAAGCACAGATAATTTAGAAATGCTGTAGGTCTATAATTGTTAAAAAATGTTGGATCTCCTTTCAAGAGGGGAATGACAAATGCAGCTTTCCAAACTTTGGGAATGACATTGGTCAACAAACTAAGATTAAAAATGTGACACAATGGAGCAGCTACAATTTCACATGCCAATTTTTAAAACATAGGTTCCAATTTATCTGGACCTTATTTGGGATCAAGGTTTTTTAAAGCTTCAATTACCTCTGTTATCGAGAAAGGTGTTAAGTTAAAAGCCTGAACATTGCCTCGGGCTCTATCAGCCAGTGGTGAATCATTTGAGGACTTTTCAGAAAGCAAGGGCTATTTGGATGTGTTTTTAGAGTTAAACAAAAACCTAGAGAAAATAAAATGATTGTTAAAATAATTTAGAATACTTAATTTATGATTTATCCTGCTACCATCAATCAGCATACTAGAAGGGAAACTGAGTTGAAGGTTGATGACAAAGATTTGTTTTCCATAATTTTTGGGGATTTTTCGGACTTTCAGTAGCCATAGCCAAATAAAAGGCAGCCTTTGCATTTCGAAGAAGAGAGGTAAATTTCTTTCTCAGTTTTCTAAAATAAATGCAGTCAGCTTCCAGGCCTGATTTTCATGCCCTTGTCCATGCAGAATGTCACTTGTGTAGAAGCTCCTAGTTCTCTTGTAAACCATGGATTTTTACATCCTTTAACTCTAAATTTACACAAAGGGGCATGCTTATTAACAATTTGACTGAAACCTTTGAAAAAATAACTCCAAGCCAATTCAACATCATCAAAGAGACCAATCCTCTCCCAGTCAAAATAATAAAGATCCTGCAAAAAAGCTTGTTCAACAAAAAAAAGTAGGGGGAGGTGGGAACAAAACGATCCGGGAACTCTCTTATTTTGACAAGGTGCATTCCGAAAACTGTCTGCTCGGATCCGGTAGCTCAAATCTCCGCCCCTAAAAGTTAAAAGTCATCACACATTTTTATTAAAAAACTAAAAAATATAATTAGACAGCACAACTAAATTGCAAATCAGTTTGACAGATTAAGTGGCTTATTAATAAAATTTTGATTATTTATTAAAATTACAACAAGAGAAATGTTTGATGTGTATTCACATTAATCACGTATCAAAACAACGGCACTAATTTGTCAAAATAGTAGCGATCAAAATGTCAAAAAGACAGTCCAGTATACTTTTATTTAAAAAAATGGAGCAGGAGCAACAACGCTCAGGACTGAATTCAGCGGAGAAGAGTCTGGCTTGGAACCGTGAATTTAGGGGAGGGGGACCGGGGGGTTAGGATGCTTGACAGAAGCAGAGCTGTTCTATTCATGCACAAGGAGAGAGTTGTTGTTGCTCTCTAATAGTTAGTGAATAAAGTGTTTACAAATGTAGGTAAACATAGATGTTTAACAGCCCATTAAAATACACCAGAATCCAGGAAATAGCATCTACTTTATTCAAAAATTTCTCAAGGAGGACCCATAGACACCCCTGCAACCTCTTTTCCCCCCACCTGCCTGCCCGATATTTGCGTTCCGTCATCGATCAGTTTACAAATTAAGCCCTACCCCTGAGGTCTTCTGATCCTGAGGTCTTTTGATCAAGACGTCGTAGTTGTAGTAGCTGAATCTGAGAGTCTCCTTTTGCTCTGTGTGTGGAGGCTCTGGGTGTTTTGAAAACAGCTGCAGAGCTTGGCTAACTTCTGTTTCCTCTCCCTCACCATTGAGGAGGATTTTGATGCCCTCGCTTGTCTCGGGACAAAGCGATGCTTGGACCATGCTGATTGTCTGGGTGGCGGATGTCCTTGCTGACCCCCAGGGAACGTCAACCGCGATTCGGTCTCCGGTGAGGGTCTCTTTTGCACAGGGCGCCAAGGGAGAGAATGTTGTCGTAGAGACTCACTTCTGTGACCGCTGGGGTCCCTGGGCTGTGAGTAATGATGTCTCGGCATCCCCAGACTCAGTGTCTCCTCCTGCTTCCTTCTCTAATCACAGTGGTTCTGAATCTTTTCCAAAGCTTCTCCAAACAGTCCTGTAGGTTTGACGACTTACTGGAGAAAAATGGAGTGTTGGCTCTCTGGCAGCTCGGCGAGAGTGAGCCACAGGTGTCACTGAGTGACAACCACTTCCTCCATGTTTTTTCCCAGGGCAATAGCTGCAGTGCCAAACAGCCAAAGGATAAAAAAATCCTCTGTCCTGCGGACCTCGTCCAGCAGTTCTGTGATGTTTCTTCTGGACTGTAGAGCCTCCTACAGCTCCTGCAGTTTTTCAGCCTTGTGCGCCTACAGCATCAAGGCCATAT